GGCAGGGAAAGTACATGTCTTAACCTGGCATGAAATGCATGGTGATTTCAATTCAACTGTAAACAAAATTTCTACCGCAAGTGAATGGCAATGTAGCATACCTTGCTTGGATATTGTCCTCTCAGGAACCTTGTTAATTGGTACTACATTTTCAATTGAAAAGAAAATGTTGATTCAAGTTTATTAAGAATTTAGAATATAAGAGGACCACAAAAGTTCATTCTTCTGCTTTATTCAGAAACTCAAAATAGGTTGTTGGACACGACTTCGCAACTAACAACAAAAACTCACTCAAGTTTAATGAGTTTTGAAAATTTCAAGCCAGAGTTATGCCATTGCTTGCTAATCAGAAGTTTTATTTATTTAACAAATTTATATAGCTGCCCATCCCACTGTAGGAAGTTAGCATCCATCCCTCTCCTAGGAAAATGAGATATTTTAGGAAATATTAAAAGGGCAAAATATTTTCCCTAAAAGGGAGGCAGAAACTCAGCCCCCACACCTTTGTCAATGGACCATTAAGGCTAGTTTATTCTACATAACAAAGATCTACCTCCTGCAGGCAGAGCCATAGTTGGCATTGCCCTCACCCAAGATCCAACAAAGGTAGGATTAGCCCTCTACCCATCTAGCAACAGAACTCACGACATGGCACCTGGAGAGATTGCATCACCCAGCAAGGCTCAACCAAACTTAGCACACAGACAGACTACAGAATTGCCCCTGCATGGCCCCATGGGAGTCTGACAACCAATCAGAATACAAGATCAAATTCAAAGCCGAACAGAGGGCATAAAACCAAGGCACTCTCAGCATCTCGGCCCTTTTTCTGCTCAGGAACTCAAGCCATGTGATCTTGTTTGTGATGGAACCCGGAAGAGTTGGTCACCGCACGCATGCGCACCAGCTAGCTGCTCTCTTCCAGGTTCCGTTGCTCTGGCACATGTGCATGTGTGTGTGAGTGTGCTCCAGTTTCGGCACTCGGTGCCGAAAAGCTTAACCATCACTAGGCTATACTATTGATTGTCATTTACAGGTTAGTAATATTTGTCCTCTTTCTGTCAACTTCACCTATTATCCAGAATTAGAAGTTGTTTGTTTAGCACTTCATGGGCTTCGCTAGCAATTTGGTAGCAACATATCCAGTCGTGTAACAACTGCAGCTTTAAATAATATTCATTTATCAAATTTATATGGTTGCTCAATTTGTAAAAAGTGACTCTGAGCAGCACACAATTAGTTAAAACCATAAATATATAAGAATGATTATTAAAATATAAAAGTCATTATTAAAAGAAAAAAAAACATAGCAAAGCACAAGCAAAGATTAACCACAGTATGGGAGCCATGTTAGAATTTCACTGCTCTCCTGATACCCCCAGGACCATCGGCAAAGCCATATCTTGAGGGTCTTCCTGAACATTAATAGAGATGGAGCTGTGTAAAAGAAAATAAGTCCTCCCACCACATTCTTTTTTTTTTTTAAATTTGACTTATATTCTTCCCTCTGTAATGGGGACAAAAGTTTCAAAATCACAAATTAGAATAGATTCTGTTGTTTAGTTGCCAAGTCATGTCCGACCCATTGCGACCCCATGGACAATGTTCCTCCAAGCCTTCCTGTCCTCTACTATCCTCTGGAATCCATTTAAGCTCATGCCTTCTGCTTCAGTGACTCCATTCAGCCACCTTGTTCTCTGTTGTCCCCTTCTTCTTTTGCCCTCAATCTTAGTCTATCAATAGATTCTAGACAAAGATTAAAAAGCAACAGGAAGTGCCAATCTAATCCCGTGAACATTGTTCCCAATCTGAGCCTAACATGAGTTCTTTTCAATCAAATAAGGGAAAAAAATGTCCTTTCTCCAGAGATCACTATTTTCAGTCAACAAATGCTAAACAAAAGGAAACTGCAACTCGGCAGGATGCCTAAAAGCGTTCCCTCTTGGAGCACCTGCTAAATACATTTTTGTAGAATTTTTGAAGGGCTTACCTTTGCACACACTTTCAAGGAACAAAGGCAAGGTTTCTCCTCTGCCTGCATATTTTATTCTTAGCTCATAAATGAACCTGGTAAGATTTCTAATAGAGCTAAACTGACTTTGGGGCTGGGGAGTGTGTTCTGGAGGGTGGGGAAGATAGCATGGGGAAGATGGCAGAAAAGGCCCATCTCCTAGGCATAATTCCCCAGGAAATGGGAGCTGCATTATGTCCTCTCTACCTGATCTGATGGGATGGGCAGATACCTTTGGAGAGAGTTGGTCCCTCAAATAACCCACCCCAATCCCATAAAGGGCTTTAACAGTTAAAACCAGCACTTGAGTTGAATCCGGAAGCAACCAGGTAACCAATGCAGTTCATTTTCCACAGCCTCTGGGCACCATTCAGTGCATACAGTATTTAAACCCACTAAAATGCAAAACTGTATTGTGTGGACAAGTCAAGTCTAAAACCTGACCTTCTATTTCATTTGATTAAACATGCCAACAGCCCAATGTAGCCTTAATCGTACAAGTAGTTCTTGGGTACTTGTTCAATGGCTGTTCAAACTTGCGACAGTGCTGAACTTACTGGACTTACTGAAGCCTGGGAGGTTTAGCCATTGCATTGTTCCCGTGGTCACATGATTGCAATCCAGGCACATAGCACCCACTTATGATTATGATATTGCAGTGAGCTGATATCATATGATCGTGATTCCATATTCTATTGGCTTCCCACAAGCAAAGGAAACACGGCCTTGTGAGGCCCTCTCTTAATGATGGCAACCGGACTGCTGGAGCAGTGCTGCTATCACACTTTTATGACTACATCACTTAGCAGTGGCAATTATGGTTCCAGTTGCCATGATAACACATGGACTACCTGTACCATACGGTTATGAAACGCTCATGGATTTGATTTTCTCTTAAAAGTTTTCACTGGCAGATAAGATTCACTGTCTTATCATCAAAGATCTAAGTAAGCATTTACCATTTTTTTGAGTATAAGACGCTCTGGAGTATATGACGCACCTTAGTTTTTGGGGAGGAAGAAAAAAAAATCTGCCTCTGCCTACCATCATCCATCAGTATTCATCTGGCTAGTGTCCTGTCAGTGTGTGAGAGAGTTGAGGGCTGTGTGGAAACTGACAGTATTTACTGTATGAGCAACAAGGAGAGTTTGGGACCTGGGTGTGGCTTAGCTCTGCAGCTCTGAGTCTGTGCTAAGCTCTAAACTAGTCTGCTGCTCAAAACTGAAACTGAAACTCCTCTCCTCTGCTTGTGTTTTGCTTGTATTTACTACCACGCTGGAAAACCTGCTTTTGGTATTGTATATTTACTTCATATTATATATAAAAAGAAGTTATTGAATCCTGCTGAATCAGTTACTTGTGTGTGCTTTCTTGATGTGATTGCTGCTGCAAACTCTGACATGTTCTTGCAGCAAGTAGCAAACAGCCAGGTCAGCTTCAGCACATTATTGCAGCCTGATTCAGCACGAGCAGCTGATTGGCGGATAATATAACAGATAATAATCTGTTTCAGGCTGCAGGGATTGCCACAGCCCATCGCCGCCTTTGTGCCTCACATTTTCGGCTACATTCGTTGTATAAGATGCACCCAAATTTTCACCCTTTTGGGGGGGGTGAGTCTCCGAAAAATACGGTAATAAACTATTCAAAACATTGGACAGAAAGATTGTCATGAAAAAAGATTTAATTTGGGACAAAAAAAATGACCAGTTAAACCTTTGAAAATAAAGCAAAAATACGAATGTTATGTGATGTTATTCTCACTGTAACAGCACAAGTCTTTTTTCTGCAGAACAATAGTACAATAGATATGGCCCATGCTTGTAATTTAATTCATGCTATATGTAATTCTACTTCTACCTTTTTTGAAAGGGAGGCATGGTGGCTTAAAAGATGCTGGAAAAGGTCTATACTCTGGTGGTTTGAGTCCTACCGTGTGATGGGGTGAGCTCCTGTCACTTGCCTCACTCCTGCCAACGTAGCAGTTTGAAAGCATGTAAATGCAAGTAGACAAACAGTACCACTTTGGTGGGAAGATAACAGCATTCCATGTTTCACACTGACATGATGTCATGCTGTCCACAAGACCATGGAAAAATCTTTGGACAGCACTGGTTCAATGGCTTAAAAAGAAAAAGGAAATCACCCCTAAAGACGGCTACAACTAGTGGAGTAAATTCTGCAGGGACACCTTTACCTTTTACTTCTTCTGAAGTTCAGCTATTTCTAAATCATCTTTTTGTTTTGCCTTTTCAAGTACAGTGGCAATTTTGATGTTGTCATCTGTATTACACAAAATTCTTCAAAGATTCTATAAGCATTTCAGTGCAAAATAAATTTACGTAATGCTGGATTCTGCCTTCATTCCTATGTTTATCTCATTCTATGGCTAATATTTTAGTTAAACAAATGAAAGAACATTTGCAATTTGTCTTGTAACAAATGAGACATTAAAGTCACAAGTATAGATTTTAGAGCAGAATTATGTGTTACATTAGTAAATATGTTGAATTTCCAAGCCTGTATTGCCGAGACAGAAAAAAAATGATGGGTGTAGGTTATTTTTCTCTCTACTTATCAGGCTACTCTCTCAGATCCTGATTTTTTTTCCTGATTTATGGAAAGAAGGTTAAATACAAGTATGTAGAGCAAAATACTGGAGCAGAATTACAAAATCTATTATTAGTCTCCTCTCCCTGCCTGCCGATGCTGTATTAACATTGCAGGATGGATTCAGAATAGTAAACTGGAGGTATCAAATGCTGTTCCTAGTTGAAGACTGATAAATGAGGTTTGTGTGGGTTTTGAAATAATTGCTGGGAAATGATCCTTGTAACCATTCATATATTAGGACTATCATATTGTTATATACCCATTGTATTTTGTTCTTTTTATTTTATTGTTCTATTATTTTATTTCTGTTTACATTCTTCATTTGGTAAGGACTTGCCTCTCCTTTCCGCTCAAGAAAGTAGAACTCTTGAAACAATTGACATTTCAAAAGGAAACTTTTATTGAGGGAAAGTCATAGCAAAACAAAGAAAGCAAGATCTGAGGATTCCCGTGCAATTCCGTTATATTAAGTTAGAGACCCCTCCCCTCAGTCCGGTGTTGAATAAGCCAATCTGCAGGTTCGAAGATGTTTTGAGAATTGCAGGCTGAGAAGGTGATAAGCTATTTTCATCTTCGTTGCTTGCTGGAGGCTCTGGAGCTGAGACAAAACAGATGGTCCTCCCCCACACTCGTTCCCAGGAAGGTAAATCAAAGCACAGGTTAGATAGGCACCAGAAAGGTGGTTATAAACTGAGGAATACCTCCAGGCTCCCTCCCTACCAGAACGGCAGCGTCCCAATAAGGATCTATGGGACCTGACTCATTTCTTTCTTTTGACTGTTGTTAAGCCACCCAGAATAGCCCATGGTGAGATAGGCGACAAATTTAACAAACACATTGAGTCGGTATTATTTCTTTCATACTGTCTTAATATGTAAGAAGAAATCTAAAAAGCTAAAAAGCAACTCACCATCCGTGTTATAACTGAAACTAATTGAATTTTATCTTTGTTTGGACAAAGATACTGACAACCATTAACTGTCATTCAAAAAATATCACCTCCAGAAATATTGGTGATTTAGTAATTATTGAAATGGCATTGTTTCACAAACCAATAGTGGAAGGATATGGAAAAACAGTATGTGACAAAGGCCAATTTTCTTCATATCGAATTTGCTGCTGCTGATAACTATATGGATAAGCTGCTATAGAACTGAAGTATCCATGCATTGGATGGGCCTGTGCAATATTAAAACTTTGTGATTCTCTAACATCAAAGTGACTAATAGTCTCTGTGTGAAACCTACTGGAGTATGCAGTATTCACTGTACATGCAGTTGCAGACACTGCAGGATTTAGTGGATATATTTCATAGGAATTTAATTCTTGGTAAGTCTGAGTTACTAAGTGGGAATTATTAGTTTGATAGAAGTACCATGAATAGTAAGGATAGGAAGTCCTATACATGTGCATAGATGTTCCCTCAAAATATTCATTTTGACTAATAGGAGACCATTCATCAGAATTTTGGATATTGTCACTGAAAGAAGGTTCAGATTGGAAACTTTGCTGTTCCATGAATTTATTTAATTCTGTCACCATTGAGGATTCTGAGTTATATGGGGGTGGGTATTTGGGAATTTCAGATTTTTCACTATTTGCACTATTGTCTGGGGATAAACTGATGTCCATGTTGCATTCAGACTCTACATTTGAATCATTTTGAAAACCACCAAATTTTAAGTTTTGCTGTGCATTTTTTGTGACCAGTAGAAAATCACCTTCACCTAATTTTTCCACTGAGCTAATAGCTTCTTCGGCAGATCTCTGAACTTTCACTGGAGATACAGACATACATTTATTTACATCACTATAGGATGAAAAGTATTCATCATGTTCCTTTGCATACTGACTGGTCTTTCTTCCCTCTTTGACATTTTTTAGATCCTGCAAATTTTGCTGAATTGAAAATGCATCTGCATTATTCAATTTGACTTCTGAGGTATTTCGTGGAGCATGAATAAGTTCACAGGGATAAGCATCTTTTAACTGTGAAAAAGTGATTGGTGTTCTCTCTCTCAAATTCCTATTGTTTCTATACTGGGTTTTCAGTGGAGTTTTTAACTGTGGTCCTTCACCTTCTGAGGATTTACACTTGTTTCTGCAAAACAAACATCAGATTAATTTCCTACAATTTTTGAAATAAATTTTACAATATCAAAAGGGTGGAATGTTAAAATATCCTTCATTGTAAAATCAGCTTCTCAATTCTCCAAATGTCTCAGAAGTGCTATGAAGAAAAGAATTCAATACAACAACACATTAAAACAGTAGGGTTTTCTGGAATTCATCAAAACTGCTGTCATATTTATATTTATGAACCCAGAATGAGACATTAAAGTAGTGAAGATCAGGCCTATATAAGCTGCTTTTTAAATTTTGACTATAAATTTCAAGGTTTAAGACTCATGCATGTAAGCATAATCAGCAGAGACTTATTCCTTGCTGTAAGCATGTGTACATACAGTACATGAAATCCCATTCTGAGAGGTCTTTCAATTATTATATTCATGTTTTCATCACTCATTTTGTGAAGATAACACCTTTATATCTTATGAAAATAGAAACATGATGATTAAAAAAAAAGTTAAAACTAAAAACTATCTAAAGTATTATTTAAAAGTTAAGGACTTCATCAACTTTAAAAATATTTTGGCTAGCTGTTCTGTAATCCTTCTCAAAGACAATTGCTTTCTCATGTAGGTGTACACAAACTAAATAATATGGGAGCAAAAATAATGTGAAGATTTTGCTTAAAGTGCAATATACCAATTTTTATTCTAGTTCAGATTGGAGAACAAAAAATAGCTGTGGTATATGGCCGTGATGGTGAACCTATGGCACACGTGCCACAGGTGGCACTCAGAGCCCTCTCCGCGGGCACGAGCCATCGCCCCAGCTCAGTTTTGCTGTGCATGCACGTGCGCCTCCCTCCAGCCAGCTGGTTTTCGAGTCTCTGCCCCACATGTACAGGTCTTGCATGCGTGGGGGTTGGGTGCACATGTGTGCGTGCACCCTGGGGGAATGCACACATGCATGGGGGTGGGGTGCACACAGGGGGTCACGCACGCATGCATGGGGTTGCGTGTGTGTGTGTCATGCATTGCATTATGGGTGTCTGTGCACACTTTTGGCACTTGATGCGGAAAAGGTTAGCCATCACTGGTATATGGACAAAGCATCTTTAACAAAGGATTTTAAGAAATCTGAGTGTTAAAGTTCAGCTTAATGAGTTACAAAATCCAAATGGCATAAGACTCAAAGCATATTTTCTTTCATAATCTTAAACTGATTATATATTCACTTTGTTTTATGGTTTGCTGAATAAATGGCAATTGATTGAGATTGTACAAGTTAAGCCAAAGCAAAGTAAGCCATATCATGTTTTAATATGTTGTATAAATTCAATTTTAAATGCTAGTGCACTATTTAACTATATCATAAATCAAAATAAAAACAAAAACGGGTGAACAGATGTAAAAATTAACAGTTTTCAGAATATTTTTTTATGCCTTTAAGCCAGTGTTGACTCTTCGTGACTGCCTGGTGTAGTTCTTGAAATTTGCTTGGTAAGATTTCGTAAGTACTTGCCCTTGCTTGCTTCCCAGTGCTTAGATAGGAGACTGGTGCAGATTTACCCAGTTGGCTACATAGCTAAGGCAGGACTAGAAATTGCAGTCTCCTGGTTTCTACCCTGATGCCTCAACCACTACATTAAAGTGGCTCTCCTAAATAATAAATAAATACAAATTAATAATAAATAATAAATTTAGTACACCCCAAATGCATCTTAGACATAGTTCACTACCTAATATTTAGCATTCTCCTTTTTCATATTGCTAATTATTCCTATACTTATTTGGAACTTTTACAATTTGTACAATATAATTTTTTAAAAAAATTTACGTATCATAAATTTCCCTTTGAGTTACTTATAAAGGAATAAAGGTAGGATAAAAATGCAATAAAATAAATAACAAATAAATACTAATCAATAAAATTCAAAAAGAAAAAAATCAAATACAGAAACAAACCCCACTGTAAGGACTGTCTCTGAAGAATCTTTTCATGAGGAAATGTTGGACTCAGGAGGACTCAAGGGAAATTGGAATTTTTATCAGCAGGATAGCCAAATGCATTTCCAGAAATGGGAACAGGAGTTGGAAGAACCCCATTCCCGCATGTCAGAACTCTAGAGAGTATATACAACTCAGCCTTTAAAAGCAAAAATACAAAGAGCATTTTGCAATCATCTCTGTTTTACACTCTATAGCTTATATTCTATAACTTTTGTGAGGCAATCACTAAGATAGCTGGTCAGTTAACAAGCCTTTTTCAGCAGAAACTCAAATGGCAAGAAAAGCAACTTCGTACTCCTGTCCTCTTACTCCTTGTCTGTTTGAAAGTGAGAAGTGAAATAGATTACTAAATATTCCAAGACAGGGAATTCTATGGGGCTGCCATTAGGGAAAAGAACACAATCTACCATACCATCATTTATAAACTATACTGATTGAATCCGCATTGTATTAAACAAATTACATTTTGAATTTGTTGTGTGTACATTTCCCTTGAGCTGGTTTGTGGAAAAGGATAGCAATCAATACATAATACTAGTACACAATGATCAACACAGTGGATCTCATTCTGCATCCTGAAATTTCCATATTTTCTACAACATGGAGCTCCATATAGAAAACACAAGCGTAAATAAACTTAAGTGTGATCAGATTATTTGTACAACACCCTATTCTGTTTCTTTTTATGAAGATAATAAAGTAGCCAAAACTGCAAAATACAGCACTACTGGCTTACCCACATTGTTCTACAATAAAACCAAGCAGTAACCCTAGTTCTTAAGGGAATAAACTCTGCATAGAGAGGTACTTTCAAAAAGGCAACTGGACTTTCTTGATTTTTCTTGAAGACATTTCACTTTTCATATAAGAAACTTCTTCACCTCTAACTAACTGGTGGGAAATCGAAAAGATCTATACTGTTTGCAGTCAACCAATTAACAGTCTAGAGTTGTGATGGCGAACCTATGGCACCTGTGCCAGAGGTGGCACTCAGAGCCCTTGCTGTGGGCATGTGCACCGTTGCCAGCTGCTCTTCTGGGTTCGGTCATGCGCATGTGCGCTGGACAACTGGTCCAGCACGCATACGCACCAGCCAGCTGCTCTCTTCCGGGTTCCAGTGCACGTGCTCCAGTTTCAGCCCTCGGTGCTGAAAAGGTTAGCTGTCACTACTCTAGAGTATTAAGTTTCCAAGAAAAATCAAGAAAGTCCAGTTGCCTTTTTGAAAGCACTTTTGGGACAACCATGACTAGGATGCCTGAGAACCTCCATGCCTTGACAAAAAGCAACCAAGCATTGCCTACACATTTTTAGAATTAGGTTCAATTTATTTATAAGCATTTTTCTAATACTTCACTGCTTCCAGGTAATGATTTAATTTGCCCACTACTTCTTTGGAAGCTCCAGAGAAGGAGAGATGGATACAGATTGCTGACACCATATTCCAAATTTATGGCTACATTCCAGCGGCTTCATCTAGATTTGATAAAGGAGACAAAATAGAACCATGGAGGATTTCAAAAAGCCAAACCATGAGCATCATTTCAGACTGAGGGGGTTGTTTCTTATGGTAAAACAAAAATTGTAATGGGCATTGCTCAGGGATATCAGCACTATGGTTGATGTCAGTTAACGCCATCAGGAAGTTAAACAAATTACAGATTGATTTTCCCCAGTATAAACCATTATTGAGAGTATTGAAGATCATTTTAGCTCTAGAACTAGTTTTGAAGCTAGCAAAGTTTGTTATAGCTACATGCTTAACATGTCACCCAAAAATAAAGCATATTTAAGGTTATACAATAATGATAAAATTCGAAAAAAATCCTAAATGTGAGTTTTAAAATAAAAACTACCGAGACTTGCTGTATGTTTTAAATGGTGCAATGTCTTAACACAGATCAGTAATCTCTCTTTATTTTCTCCTCCAACCATCTGGCATATATTTGTGAATCATCCATTTATGTTAAGAGTTTTATACTATATGTAAGTCGAATAAAAATAACTTATTGGGAACTAATATCAAGATTCCTCGTACAATATAATTATCACTAATGAAATTCCTCAATCAAACTGGCAATTTTTATTCCCATGCAGATGTGGAAGAGGGAAAGAAATAAAAAGGCTGTAGCAGGAAGAAAAATCTGTTGATGTATTGTTGGACTTCAGTCTTATCCAAGCACATTTTTTGAACAAAAGTTTAAAACTGAAATAATAAAAGATGTGAACAAATGCACTAGGTGTTTCTTTGTATTAAATCAATATTTATATTTATTATGTATACCTCATGTTTCTGTTGGCTTCTTTTTCATCTATCTTGAAAGTTGTCATCAATGAAGCAGCTACCTAAGAGATTAAAAATAGCAATATAAACTGAATTAAATATGTTATGTGTTTTTGTTTTACCAATGCTCTGCATACGCTTATTTGTGTTGCAAACTAAGTTTGTAGCATTTGTTTTTCCTGGAGTTGTAATAACACATCTTCACAGCAATTAACAAGTTCTTTAACATAAAAGCTGTAATAATTGGATATTGTGTGATTAAGGAAATTCTAAATTGTATCATGAGCAAAAGGAAGTGTTGATACAAAATTAATGGTAAAATTAAAAAAAAAACATTCTAGGGTCTTAACTTTGGGAAACATATTCAGGGTTAAAAATTGATGTTAGCAAATGTCTATATAGAATGTTGGCAGTACAATTTTCAGGGTCAGGAGAATTAAGAAAATCTGTGCATATGGATGCAAATAGAGCCAGTAAAAGGTAGTGGGAATGAATTATAACAAGAAACCTACGTAACTGAAAATAAAGCCACAGTGCTTTTCACTTCACAGAGAATGCTGGGAACTATTCTTAATATGGTAATTGTAGGTCTAACATCAATTACGTCAAAACAAAGAAATCTAAATAACATATTTCAAGGAATGTGTAGAATTTCTGAGAAAAAAAAAAGGAATAAAAAGTGTGTATCAACCTTTTTCAATCTAACTGAATTCCAAAACTTCCATTCTGAAAATTATGGATGTAGCTTGATGCCTCTAGAAGGCATATTCTCTAAGATAGAACTAAGAAAGGATTTCTCAGAATCTCAAGAAAGACAGTATTCTCAAGTTATATAAGACAAGGATTTAGGCAAGGTGTGTAGAAATAAGGTTTACCAATACAGGGTATGCTTTAAAATACTTACAATTTCTGTTGTTAAGCAGAAATAATGAATAATAACAAAAAAAATCCTATTTTTCTATCCAGTGTACCTAGTATAATCTTGAAAATCTGAAACTTGTCCAACTCTGTTCTAGAGAATCATTTTTCTCACTTCATAGGCTTCACTGCTCCAATTCAAAAAAATAGGCATCATCAGTGAAGTCAACAATGATTTGGAATACTGTATGGATAATAGGACTATCTTTGCCTGCAATAATCAGGGACTTTGTTCAATAGACTATTAGCCATGATATAACACTCTGGGGATCCTAACTATAGTTCACTTTGGTATATTAGAACTTCTATACAAAACTAATCCTTTAAGTTTCATTGTCTTACTTCTTACTTTACCTGGATATTTTATTTATTTGTATTTTGCCCTTATTATTTTTACAAATAACTCAAGGCGGTGAACATATCCAGCACACTTTCCTCCTCCTTTTTTTCCTGTAACAATAACCCTATGAAGTGGCTTGGGCTGAGAAAGAGAATAACTGGCCCAAAGTCACCCAGCTGGCTTTCCTGCCTTAGATGGAACTTGAACTCATGGTCTCCCACTTTCTAGACTGGTGCCTTAACCACTATGCTGATTCTTGGTTCAGATTTGCTTATTTTATCTGTTGGTTTTAAAGTTACATGGAAATCTCAGTATGGGATTGATGAGGCCACAGGATTGAAAGGCAACAGAAACTATTAACATTCCAAATCATTAGTTACATATTTTTATTTCCTTCATAACAAAATCCAAATTAACTGGAATAATAAAAAAAAAACCAGACTTGTATTTACTCTTTGTAACAATCTTCCTGAAACTTCTTGTTAGAAAAGCAGTTTACTGGCAAAATATACATGGATTAGAAAGTGTCATGTATATACTGATAGTGACTCTTTAATAGAAAGAGTAGCATTCCTGAAAAAGCAGCAGCTGCAGATAAGGGAACACTGAATTTATGCAATCCAACTACAAGTGCTCAAGCAATCCAATAAAGCAGTTTACAAGGAACAAGGACAACAGGTTTTCCATAATTTTCTTTAATAGCTCACTATCTTGAAAAGTATGAGTACTGAAAGGATGGGACTGATTCAATCTTGATGTAGTTAGGCCTCCATTTTCTAATGACAAGCAGTTGCTCTGTCAATACCTGCAGGACTTTCTTTCCATTTCTTTCTCTGCCGTAAAACAAGATCTAGGTCCCTGGAGAAGAAAGTTGGAAGGAAATGCTGTGACGTGCATCCCCTAACATTCTGGGAATGGTTTATTTCAATCGGTATATTACTAATCATATAATGGATTAATTCTAGTCTAAGAGTATGCAAGTAGTCATTAAAGTAAACTTTTGAGACTTAAGACATTTTACTTACTGGTACACAAAATTAAAAGGAAAAATCATCTGGTGTTTTAAAATCAAATCCATATACACAGGTAGTCCTCAACCTATGATTACAATTGAGCCCAAAATTTCTGTTGTTAAAGAAACAGTTGTTAAGTGAGTTTTGCCCCATTTTATGATCTTTCTTGCTACAGCTATTAAGTGAATCATGCAGTTGTTAAGTTAGTTGTTAAGTGAATCTGGCTTCCCCATTGACTTGGCTTGTTGGAAGGTTGCACAAGGTGATCATTTGGTCCTACAACATTGCAACCATCATATGAATCAGTTGCCAAGTGGCTGAACTTTGATCACGTGAACATGGGGATGCTGCAATGCCATAAGTCACATTTTTTTAGTGCTGTTGTACCTTTGAACAATCACTAAATGAACTGTTGTAAGTTAAGGACTACGTGTACTATTCCATTTATGAAACTTTGAGATTGTAAAGCACAGCTTTCTTTGTTTGGTCTTTTTATATTAATGCAAATAATGTGCATTATGGAATTATGTACACAGCAGGAATTGTCAAGGAAAGTAAATCAGAATCACCCAAATATTTCTATGCGGTTATTTTTACTATTTATTAATTTATTTATCCTTACTCCCAAATAACAGAACAATCAGACCAACACAAAAGTGGTACAGTTACAATAAAAATCCTATTCTTTTTCCTTCCAAAAAAGCCATTTTTTTTCACTTTGTATATAAAATAGTTTTGAGTGTGTGTGTGTGTGTGTGCGTGTGTGTGTGTATACACACTCACACACATACACAGGAACTGGTGTTTGGTATTAAGATCAAAGCAGAGGTTCTATTATTTCCCATGAGACCTCCATTATGATCTTAATCCACCTGTTTAAGCAATAGGAATAGCACTTAGACTTATATACAGCTTTACAGTGCTTTACAGCCCTCTCTAAGTGGTTTTACAGAGTCAGCATATCCCCCAACAATCTGGGTCCTCATTTTACCAACCTCAGAAGGATGGAAGGCTGAGTCAACCTTGAGCCTGGTGAGATTTGAACTGCCAAATTGCAGTCAGTCAGCAGAAGTAGCCTGCAGTACTGCACTCTAACCACTGCTCCACCGTTTATTCTCAAATAATGGAAAATACCATACCTCCAAATTATATCTGAAAATTGTCAAATACAATAATATGTAGGATAGAAAAATATACTCCAAAAAGTACACTATTAGCAATCTCATTGCTCTTGAAAATGTTTCATCTATCATTTACATAATACATGATTTAAGTTCACATATCATGTTCTGTAAGCCGCCCAAAGTTGCCCTATGCGGGAAATGGGTGACATGTAAATTGAATAAGTAAATAAGTGAATATACAAAGCACCATTTAGAGAAGGTTTTGGATGACATTACCTTTTTCTTTTTGTTATGTGAGACATCAATCTTTTCTTCTGATGGGCAGGGCTCGTCTTCTAAAGTTACATTAAATGGTCTTTTGTTTACAGTTTGGGAAGCCTGAAGATTTTGGTCACTGTGATCCGACCGTGTTCCTACAAGCTGCCGTTTCAACCGACAAGCTTTTCTCCAGTTTTTAAGCATTTGATGTATAACCACAGGAAGAGGTGATTTCTCCTGTTCGGAACAGATAAACTTCATATGTGCAATGGTTTTCATCACCTTCATAACGTGAGCTATTTTTCCTACATCTTTCTTTTTGTACAAAATCAATTTCTCAAGAAGTAAAGAAAACTGTTTATAGTTATAGTCTAATTCAGAAACTGTACTTCCATAATTTAAAGCGATAGCATATGGTGCCAAATCTATACACATGGAGACAGGCGACTTGGATGTTCCTAACATTTTTCTTGTTTCTGAAAATTCCGCAAATTCTCTTGTGAGAAGATGAAGCGCATAAGAGCAATTTAAGGCTTCTGTATAGTCATAAATAATGTTCAACTCCTCCTGAAGTTCAAAGATGGAAGCCTCCACTGTTTCTAAAAGCTTTTCTTTCCGATAAGACAGGAAAGCCATTTTTTCTTGGCACTGGAAAAGTTCAGGTACAAGTGATAAATCAAACCATAGTAAACTCCGAAATCGCGGATTATCTCCTTGTTTCGCTATTGAGTTTTTAAGGAAAAAAATAGTTTCATACATCATTGCCAATTCAGTATATATTTCGATAGCTTCCGGCTTCAGAATGACAGGATTAATTCCTCCATTCTTCATGAAGTTTAATATATTTTCTTGGGTTATCAGTATGGTTATATCCTCTTCTTGTAAAATCTGAAAATACTTTTTCAGCATTTCCAACTGCACTGTACATTTGCCCATGAGCTTTTGCAGTCTTTCAATATCGGCAGACTGTGCTTCATCCAAGATTTCACTTACATTACAACTATCTTGTAAAGTTAGAGACTTTCCAATGAGGCAATCTGCATTGTCTTGAGAGCAAACATCTTTACAGTTATGAGAGTCTTCTGCACATTTCTCAGTATATCCTCCAAAAGTTCTATTATCATCATTTCCACATCCAGAATCTTCCATCATACGCTCATAAATATCAAAGAGCTTAGCCACAGCAATTTCATATACTTGGAGCACTTCTTTCCCATCCTTTGAACCGTTATTTAAAGATGTATTTCTTTCTTGCCAAACAAGATTTTTAGCAGCATCAAAAAATACATGTTCCAGACCAAATAATGAAGTTTTAAGATTAAACTCTTCATTAGTACATGTCTTTACAAATTCTGTTTTTTTACCAATAATCTCAATAATAATCCAGAGATGATTATCTTTTTCAGCACTCAAATTCATGCCTGGAAGGCTTTTAGATATATTTATTAAATCCATTGTACTTTTTCTTGAATTTTCTAGGTCTTCTATAGAATCGCCAAAGTTAGCTCCACAAGTAAAAGGCACAGATAAAAAAAAATCAGATAAATTGGAAATCTGTTTCATTACTGATTCACATTCCTCTATTTCTCGCCTTAATTTCAACAAGCAATAATAAGAATTATTCTCAGATATAGTGTTTTCAAAAGCTTCCATTAACTGCTTGTGGTAGATTTGTAATTCATTAAGGGGATTGTATTTTAATCTCATCTGAAAAGCAGGATATAAATTTGATTGCTGTTGATAACCTGAATGCCCACCAAACAGTTCACTATGCAGCGAATCATCATACCAAAGCAAACTTCGAAAAGTTGGCTCACCTTTTAAAAATCTTTTCTTATTCTCTATAAACTCCATTGTTTCCATTATAATTTGCAGTTCAACTAATGCTTCTATAGCACAAGGTTTTACTTTCTGACTTGCCTGCATATTTCCATTAGAGCTTCCAAGTATTTCCCTAGAAATCAAAGCATGCTCAAAAGAACAACCTTGCTTTTTTTCAAAAGCTGTAATGAACAAAGGAAGAGCACTTTTGCAATATGAAATCTGTTCATGCAGTATATTCAGAGATGAAGTTTTATCTGCCTTTTGTAAGATCTCTGATATTTTAGAGCTGAAATCACAGGATTTTAGACTGATTCCTACTTTGGAAAGTTTGATGTGATTCCTGAAATTGCTACAATGATCAGAAGATGTGCTTGAAAAATAGCGTTCCTTTTGCTTGGCCTTGGTGCTAGTGAAGAGTTTGTTTGTTTCATCAGGCATGACATGATAAACTGCAGTTAGTGGAGAATTAAAATGAAACTGGTCACAGTTATAAGCACTGCCTGAGGAAGCCTGTCTGCATGTGGATTCCCTAAGTATATGATTTATGTGTTTCAAACTTCTCTGCTTTAAATCTAAATTATTTAATGACTTCAGAGGAGTGTCATGGATTATATCTAGTCTTTCAGTTGCAGAGTCAATCATGGTTTCTGGTAGTTCTCTTTCCTTTACATTTTCCTCTACAAGTCTCTGTAATACGCAACAATGAGATGATTGGCATAAATTATTATCTTCGAAGGATGTAGGAGATAGCAGATCATCACTAGATGGTATTTTGTTAGTATTTCCTTGGTGTTCAATTGACTTGCTCAATGATTTACAATGCCTATTCTCTGCAGTATATATTTCCTGTTCAGTTGTTTGACTAAATGTATTAAAGCAAGAATGTTCTGATTCTGAAAAAGCCTGTTTACAATGAGAATCTAGTTTTTGCTTCTGTCTACTGGAGGATCCTGCTGGGATTTCAGAGCAATTCATACCTATATTTTTGTTTGATGAATTGTTTGTTTTTAATGACAGTGACCTATTGCTATGGATTTCTGAAGTTAACTGAACCACAGAGGTTTTAGCATTAAGGTTCTCTTCTGTTAAAGGCCAACTTGCCAATGAATCATGACACTGTCCAGTACTCAAAATCATGTTTTCTTCCTGTAATGCAGATATTTCCACAGTTTCTTTGTCATTGCTTGCTTTTTTCAAATTGGGACAAGGTGCAGAAATAATATCTGATCCGAACATTTTTGTAGCAGATTCAAAAGTTGGTTGAATTGATGTAGAAATTTTAACAGTACTCATCTTTCCTCGAGATTTGAACATTTCATCATCATTTGTTTGCCTTCCTTGAGAGACAGTTAATTCCTTTCTTGTCCTAGAAGAGTTAAACTGATTTCCATCTGTTTTGCTTCTACAGCTATTCGTGTCAGAACTCAAAGTGTGCTTGTTTTTCATGGCTGTAATTACATTCTCTTGATTCTTTTCTTGTGCATTTCCAATAAGGCCTTCCCCAGCAAATCTCTTCTTGTTGCATATGAAAGGCTCAGCGCTAAGTGGCTCTATGCTTTTAATTCCTGTAGTATCTAAGATAGCATTTTTTTCAGAGACTGTTTTTATTGCTTTATTTTTAGCACAATCACTGCTAAAAGATACATCTGTACTGCAATCTGATGTTTCAAAAGAATCTAACACTAAGATACCATTCGGTAAGATGTTTTTTGCTTTGGAGAATACACTACCTGGAGTTTTTCTTCCAGCTTTTGTCACTGTTTTTAAACTCTGAACACTCTTCCGAGCTTTTCTTAGCTGAAACATTGCACCAATTATTTTTTGAGATGGGCATTTGGTTTTGCATAGCAATGCTTCAGTGTTGTCAAGGGCACTTAAAATATTCTTAATATGTTTTTCAGGCTGCTCGGTTTCTTTAAACTGTCCCTTGGATAGTGAAGAAATCTGGGGTGAAGACCGTACGTTGAGTTCTTTCTTTTTGCGATACTGTTTGGAATTTTGCTGTCCCTTTGCATATTTTTTCTTTTTCCCCCCTCTTGTCCACTTAATACATTTTTTGGGCGCTGAAGATTTAGTTGTACATTTTTCCATTTTAGTTTCTAATTTTGACTGAACTATATTGGTTATTGTAATTTGTAAATCAGGGCACGGAAATGTATTCAATAATTCAGTTCCACTTTCCTTCCCAGATTTCTCCCTATATAAAGAATTATCTTTATTCGTCTTCAAAGTTGGATCTTTTGAAAGATTTACATTCGAGCCAGGTTTTCCAAACAGATTATTCCAATCTAAACGTGCTTGTAAATAATAATAATCATTTTCTTCACTAATATTTCCATGATTATGTGGCTTGTACCACACTGAGAGACCTTGTTTACACTCTTCTAATACATTTTCAATCTCACCACAAATGTCTAAGCTGTGGGTGTTATCATTTTTCATCTCTAAATCTTGCCCAAATATTTCAGGAACTTGACTACAAAAGCTATCAGAACTGGCATTTGAAGATGTATTTTCAGACTGTTTGTTGATTTCCGTATTTCCCAAAGATATAGGAACTGATGTGAGTAACACTGTGTGATTTACTTTCTCGTGATCTATCAAGTCATTATTTTTAGTAGGCAATGTTTGCAATTCTTCAAATTTCGCTTTGCAATGTTCTGTGTTCGTTAGCTCTGTTTCTATTAACGAGCGTCTTTGAAGATTCAAGTTAAAAATAAAATCTGTGCTTTCTAAATCTAAAGTATCTGAATTTTTTGATGTTTTTGTATAATTGTTCATATTATCTACAGATTTCTTCAAAACCATATCAGGTTCTTGCTTTTTTCTTGATGAGCTTTCTGTTGCATTTTTAAATGCAGTTTCTGTTGCAGATTTATACTTTTTGCCTTCTTGTCCACATGGAATCTTCTCCTTTAATTGGTTCATATGTATTTCATTAAAGCATGTTTCACCTGTGTTGCTTGTTTCACGTTTTTTTTGTCCTTCAGTAAATAAAGAAATACATACTCTATCCTCAAAATTATTTGTGTCTAACAATTCTGGCTTGGAAAGACAAATACTTTTTTCACTAAGGCCTCTTATAACAGCATCAGTTATACAGGTATCAGAAGGATGATAATCGAGGTTCTCTACATTGCTAATTCTTTTGGAAGATTTTTCTTTGCTATTGTTTATTGTATAATCATTATCTAGGAAGTTATTTGCTTTTTCAGATGCTGAATATTTTTGCTTATCTTTTTGATTGCTTTCAGCCAAGTTGGAATTTTTAGATTTTAGATTTAAAATTTTCAGAGCTTGACGCTTATTTTGTTCAAAATTCTCCGATGTGATTTCATATGAAAGCCATTCATAAGCATACATTTTTTTACAGCAGGCAGACTGAAAAGTATTACCACAATGCTCTGCTTTTGATGAAGTACAATTGTTTGTAGCACATTTGGTGTCAAGTTGAATAGAATGCTCTATTTCTGAAGGAAAAATATCATCCCCTTGAACCTGGCTATCCATTTCTCTTCGACTGTGCTTCTTGTCTTTGCTAGCTGTTACATTGTCAGGACTTAGTTTGCATGAGCTTATACTGGTGTCATTACAAAAAGGTGGTTTCATAGTAAGTTCTTCATTTTGCTTTACCACATTCTGTTCTCTTCTTGTTAATCTTGGATCTTTAATTAACCTTGAAGTAGTTACAGTACTTGAACCAATTTCCCAGTCAGAAAAATCTTCCGGATTTATTTTTAAACTAGTCTTATCATCCCCCACATGTTCACCTCTGATGGCTTCCATACCAGATTTACATGGAATATTTGCTTTCGTTTGTGTTAAATCCCATCTTGTAGCTGGCTTGGGTTTCTTTTTTTCACAGTGAATTTTGTCTTCAGAATCATTCCAGTTCTGTACACTTTTAGAAATAGAAGAAACTTCTCCAGATACATACGTTTCTAATGGTTTTCTGAAATGTTCGTAGATGAGTTGGCTTTTACCTATCCTTGTCACCCGTGTACAGTTTTCCAGAGGGATAACTCCTCCTGTTAATGAAAGAGAGATATGATTTTTGAGGGTTATAATATTTTATCTAAGGAAGAAAAAACATATTTTAACCAAATAGATAGTTATTTCTGACTCCTTGATAGGTGATGTGCTAATGCGTGCTTTCTAACCATTCACCAAGTTTTTATAATAGCTAAAATGCCCAGGAATATTCTAACTGCTAAGCTAATGTAACTTTAGGAAGCAAACTTATATTTATGTTTCTTAAGTTTCAGTAAACAGTTATTCTAGGGGGGAAATTTTCCACAAACTCAGTTTGGCTTGCAAACAATTTTATACAAATCCAAAGATAGAACAAGTTGTATTATCAAAAAGTGAAGACTGACCAGTAGGATTTAAAAAACCTAGAGGCATAGCAAATTTCTGTAGCAACATTTACTGTAGAATTGCTATGTTGACATGCTTGAATAGTAATAATTTTGTATGCCTATGAATGATTTCTTGCTATTTTTCTGTTTTTCCAAAGGGCAGTGACATAAAGAGGCAAATCTATCAATACTTTCTGAAGATAACATTAAAAACTCTGGCCACTTCCAGCCAAGAGTTTTACTACAGAATGACCCTCAGAATCTTATTGGAGTGGAAGCTCGTATTTGTAGCCTTTTTGTGCTTTCTCAACGTTCCTCATATTTTTTTCCTTCTGTCAAAAATCTATCGGGTTGGGAAAAACATAGCTCACAGTACCTTTTCAATGGTAGCAAATGGAACAGGTCATTGAAAATTTATTTTAGAAAGCCCTTTTAAAAAGCTTGATCCTGTGCTGATTTAGGATAAAAGAAGAAGAGTAGTTCTGAAGGCAGCAGTGAGAAGCCGGGTGAGGGTTCGGGATTTCAATTCATACTTTTGCCAAAGCTGTCCCTTGAGGATCTATTTCCTTCCACTTATGAAGCATCTAGCCTCTGCATTATATATTCCCTTTTTCTTGCTGGCCAGTCCAGATTGTGCCACCCATCAGCATAAATGCAACACCTGGTTGTCCAGTACCAAACTAGCAACTATCTTTTTTTTTTTTTTTAAAAAGAAAGTTTCAAGTACAATTGCAAAAAATACATTTTTAATACTTTGACTGGATTTACACATCCGATTAAGCCATAATTATCTGTGGGGGAAGGAGATATGGGAACAAAAGGTATCATTTGCCTTGTCACATCACTTTGCACACGATGCAAATGACTTAATGTTGCCATGATATATGTAAATTACTCATCTCATGTCAGACGGTGAGATGGGTGGCAAATAAATGTAATAATAAATAAAATGTTATATTATCATGGCTTGTACTGAATGCCTATGCCTAAAACCATAGTTTAATAAACCATGGCTAGCTGAGCTCAGATGAAGAAAATCAAACAAAAATCAAACAAATCACAACTATGTGAATCCAGCTGCTGCTTTTTAATAGTAAGATGGGAGAAAAAGAGTGCAGGTTGTTCAGAAACCTATAAATGAACAATTTCAAGAGCACTGTAGTGAGGAAGGAGTATTTAAATCTGAAAAGAGAAATTTGCTGGCCAGAAATTACAACTCAGACTTAAATGAAATTTGAAGCAATCTTTGCACATTTCATTTGTGTAAACCTTCACCTCCTTTTGCATTGTTATGCAGATATAAAACTATAAGAAATAAAAATTTCTTATTAAATTGTATTAATCCAGTTCTATTTTTGGTTGATTATCACTGAAGATGACTAACCTCTGGAAAAATCAGAAACAAATGAGCAGAAGGGGAAAAAGGACAGAGAGGAATAGAAATGTGAGAGAAAAAAGGGTAAAGAAGCAGGAAAGTAGTGAAAAAGCAGACTGGGCTGTAGCAAGTGAGAACAACTAGACAATGAAATGGACAGAAGATTTTGGGAACTCTGCTGGTGACCTTATTCATACACATTATGTTAAACCATATGTTGATTTGTTTAGCTTTGGCGTTGTAGCTTAAGACCCAAATACTATTACCAAGTTTATTTTTTAAGACATGACTAAAGAAACCACAGCTGAGCTGGATATCCAACCTATAAATAATGCAGGCACACATCAAATGACAATCAGAAATGTGCTGTAAAAATCTACATGACCAGTAGATGGCAACAAAGTGTTCCAAATACATGTCTATGTTTTAAATCTGCTGCAGTGTTTTGTCAAACTTGGCAACTTTAAGATGTGTGGAATTTCCAGAATTCCCCAGCTAGCATGAAGTCTAAACAACATTACCAAATTTAAAAAAATACTGATCTAATGCTTTTCCATTCCAGATCTCGGAGTCCTAGCTATGAAGTTAAATGCAGAAGCTAAGAAGAAGACATGAAACAATATCTATAACATGAAAAACTGAGCAGAATCAAGGGGAATACAATAAAATGAACATAAAAGCTCAAGAAAGCTTACCAGTGTGCTTGGGTAATCTTTTAAGTTTACACTTCAAAGATGTTAGGAAGGAATCAGCCCCTCCTTTCTGATTAACAGATTTTACATGTATTACAGCATATGGAAGACATTGCCTAGGCTTATCCACAGGTTTTGAATGTTCATTATATTCATAAAAATATACCTGTGAATGGAAGTATTGTAAGAACTTAAAAGTAAGTACCTGGATAATTAACTTTAAACTTACACAAAGACCAAAAATAGTGACCACACTGTGATCAAATATCAACAAAATGAGTGGTAAAACACATCTCATGCAGCACACCTCTCTTATAAAAAGTATCATACAAACTAGGTGCAAAATGTACTGTTTTTGTGAAAAGATTAAAGTATCTAATATAGGGGTGTCAATCTTGATCATGCCACAGGCCGGATCGTGACGTTTTTTGCCTTTGAGGAGCTGAGGTAGGAATGGCCTGCACGGGCCGTATCTGGCCCGTGGGTCACCAGTTTGATTTAATATGGGCTGACAGGCCTGATCTAATATGACAGTTTGTATCACATGTTTTCTAATTTTAATATAAAATTATTTGCTGAAGATTTAGGAAATTCAGGATAAAATGTCTGTGGAAAATATTTAATAACATCTTAGAAGTGAAGCAGAATTAAAAATCCCCCTTCATCTATCAAATCTGTGACAATATTCATCCTCTCTTATATGTACTGCTCCATACAGTATACAGTATATAGTTTCTTGCTTTTTTGCAGAAGCAGACAACTGAAACAAATTTGATCCAGCAGCTCAATATGGGTATGCTGCAGATCCTGTCAGCCAAAAAGTGTTGACTGGCAGGAACTGGGGTCTTCTCTGCTGTAGTCCCTGCTTTGTGGAATATTCTCCCTTTGGAGATTAAAATAGTCCAAAAGGTCCTTTTTGACCTTTTGTAAAGCTTTGGCTATGTATCCGGGTCTGTGGTTTTGGAATGTGTTAGGACCCTGCTTCTTGGTTTTACTTATGACCCTTCCTCGAAGTTTAGTTTAGTTTAGTTTTAGTTTTATTAAATTTGTATACCGCCCTACTCCCGAAGGACTCAGGGCGGTGAACAGGCACAAGATAAAATACAGAAATACAAAAGTTAAAACAATTTAAAACCAAATTAAATAATATTGGCCCACGACAATTAAAATCCCAATAAATTTAAAACCAATTAAAATTTCAATTTAAAATTTTAAAAAGGGGAGAAAAATTAGGCCAGGCCGGCTTGCTGGAATAAGAGGGTCTTAAGAGCACAGCGGAAGATGCGCAGATCTGGGATCCTCCGTATCTCCGGGGGGAGCTCGTTCCAGATAGTGGGTGCCCCCACAGAGAAGGCCCTCCTCCTGGGGGCCACCAGTCAACACTGCTTGGCTGACGGCACCCGGAGGAGACCCTCTCTATGAGAGCGTACCGGCCGGTGGGAGGCTATTTGTGGTAGTAGGCGGTCCCGTAAATAACCAGGTCCTAAGCCATAGAGCGCTTTAAAGGTGGTAACCAAAACCTTGAAGCGCACACGGAAGACCACCGGGAGCCAGTGCAGCTTGCGCAGAAGTGTTACACAGGAGCGCCATGTTGCTCCCATAACCACCCGCGCGGCCGCACTCTGCGCCAGTTGGAGCCTCCGCGTGCTCCTCAAGGGGAGCCCCATGTAGAGAGCATTACAAGTAATGACTGCCCTACCATCTTTGTGGTTACATGATCACATTTCAGGTGCTTGTTAACTGGCTTGCATTTATGACTGGTTGCAGTATCCCACATGATTTCAATTTGTGACTTTTTGCCGTAAGTTGGATTCAGACTTACGGCCACACCATAACTCCCTTCATGACAGTCTAAAAATGATCATAAATTCGAGTCTGGCCATGTGGTGACTCAATGTGCAACTGCAATGATTTAGGACCAAAATTCCAGGCTCAATTGTGGTTGTAAGTCATGGACTACCTGTAAAGAGGCAGTTTTAATTATACCTGTCCTGGTTAGTAAAATATATATTGTGGCTCTTAAGCTTGGAGAAAACTGGGATATTTTCATACCAACAATGATGAACAGAAACAACCCAACCACGAAAATAACTCTAGGTACTTTAATGATAAATTTCTGAATCACTCCATAGGCCAGGATAAGATTTCCAGCTTTCCAAATATTAATCTCTAGCACAATTAGTTACTGAAAATACCAGCCCTTGATTCTTCATGTGAAATGCTAGATTTTATCCCTGTTGAACAGCCCAGAAAGAGGGTCTTCTTTATAATGAAGTCAGAAATAGACATCTTTCTCACCAAATACTTTTTGTGTGGCTAAATGTTATATAAAACTTTATTCAAGCTTTGCTACAGTTTCTGAATATATTGTTTCTAAATTGTACACCCCTCCTTAAAATTCATTATAAACTTCAAAAAATGAAATAACTTCAGCTTCCGGTTTGGCTTCCGTCGTCGCTAGACGGTCTTTTGGGACTGCCACCCCCGCCGCCCGTAAAGAGCCGCCTTTACAGCTGAGAGACGGCTCGAAAAACTCAGTTTCTTTAAGGAAATGTGAGGAGAGCTGGCGAGAGCAGGTAGAGCCCTCTGCGAAGTCCCCAGAGTTTTTTTTTTTTCCTCTTGGGGAGGAAGCAGGATGAGGCTCCCTATCCAGCTTGCTGCTGCTCCGGGCTTCAGGAGAACGCTGCGCTTTGCAGAGCTAGACGATGTGACCAACCTAATCAGCGAAAACTAACAGATTGTTTGAATAAGCAGGATGAAATCCGGATTTGGGACTCTAAATCGCAAGTATTTGTAACAACCCTATGACTGATTTTAAGAATGAAGAAAGAGTGAAAAGGGAAAAAAAGTTTAAAATGGCGGCTGGCTGAGGCTTGAGAAGAAAGCTGAAAGCGAAAGTCTTTCCGTTTGAATGGCTTAATATGTTACAAAGTATTTGAAGCAATAGCGCTGGCTACAAGAGAAGAGAAAAATTTCTGTTTCATGCTTCTTCCTTCTTAGAGACTTGATATTGATATTGTGTGGAGAGAAGACTTTTTTTAAAAAAAGAATCTGTTTGTGTGGCAGGATGGCGTTAAAACTGACAAAGCCAGACAATCAAGCTGTGGGGTGGGGGCTCCCCCATTTATAAATCACAAGAGCAATTTTTGAGCTTGCAGATGCAGAAGAATGGTTTTTTTAAAGATTTAAAGGAATTTGTTGTGGAGGAGTTGGCAAGACATTATGAACCAGAATCTTGAAAAATTTAGACAGGAAATTAAAAAGTTGGTTCAACAAAAGTATGATAACCTGAAGCGCTATATTGTAACAGCTTTGAAAAGCTTTTCAGAAGTAATTGTACAGATGGATAAAGATATTAATTTAGAAATAGAGTCTAAAATGAAGGAAGCTGATTATAAGATTCATAATCTGGATAATAAAATACAAAGAATTGAAAATGATTTGACAATGATTCAAGAAAATAGCTCAGAAGTAGAGTCTAAAATAAAGGAAGCTGATCACAAGATTTACAATGTAGATAATATAAAGCAAAGGTTTGAAAATGAAGTTACAATGATGCAATTCAGATCCATGGAATTTGTGATCAGAATGAGGGGAATACAGGAAAATAACAGAGAGGACTTGAGAAAGATGTCTGCTGAAGTTCTGGCTGTGATTTTAAAGGTCAGCTCTGAAGAAGTATTCTGTAAGATTGATAAGGTCTACAGAGTAAATTCTTGGGTGGCAAAGCAAAGACAACTGCCTAGAGATGTGGTGATTTATTTTACTGATAAAGGAATAAGAAATGATATTGTGCAAAAGTCTTTTAACTCCACTCTAGAAATGAATGGAATGAAGATCTGGATATATAAAGAGCTGCCGTCCAAGATGTTAAAAGATAGAAAGGACTTTGGATTTTTGGTGACTGAGCTAAAGAAACAAAACATCCCATTTAGGTGGGATGCTCCAGTTGGTATAATATTGAGATATCAAGGAGAAGGATATCAATTAAACACTGTTGAAAAAGCGGAAGAATTTTACTACAAGGTTTTTAAAATGGGCCCAACATCTCCACGTATGTCATCAGTGTCAGGAATACAGGAGGGGGATAAAGAAAGGCAAAATGAACAAGAGATTGAAACTCAGGCCAAGCAGATGGAGATGGAGGTAATGGAAAAACGACAAGTTATAGAGGGCTTTTTGGATGAGCCGCTTTTGGATTCTCCTTCAGAGGCTATAGCTGGATCACCTATAAATACAAGAGAGGCGGCTTTGGATCTCGATTTAATGTCTTATCAAGTTAAAAACCAGCATGTAATTCGATCAGCTGATATACAAGTCCTAGAAAGACAACCAGGGTGGAGATCTAAACCACAACAAGTTAAGAAAAGAAGAAGCAGGTTCTACAAAACTAAATTTTTTTAAACTACAATTCTTTTTTAGCCAACAGATTAATGCCAGTTATTTAAGAGACGATTAAATATAATAAGCGGGATTTATATAAGGCTGATACATGAAAATATAGCTGAGGCAAATTACAGACTTATACTATTTTGAGAAGAATAACAGATCTCTGCAGTGCTGGTGTTTTTGGGATGTGGAAGATGGCCTATGATTGAGCGGATTGGAACTTTCTATTTTGGACTCTCTGAAAAATGGATTACGTATATGTTGAGTTATAAGGCAAGAGAACTATGGAATTGGGGCATGCAGATGATCTGGCTGTTACCCTAACGTGGTTGTTGGAATTAATAATCTAGACAAAAGACATTACAGAAGATACCATAAAGTCACTCGGGGGGGGGGGTTTATATACAGAAATACTTATTAATGATGGGGGCAGATGGTAATTGAAGATACTGAATATACTGTTGGAAGCAGGACTTGATGTTACCCTAACATGGTCGATGGAATTAACAATCTAGTTGAAAGACATTACAGAAGATACTATATGGAATACAAATTTAAAGTCATTTGAGGGTTTTATTTATATATGGAAATATTTTTTAGTGATACAGGCAGAAGAATAAAGATATTAAATATATTATGTATGGTAGACCTGTAGGAAAGTGGGTGAAACAAAATTGATATGGTACAAGGTGATAGGTAACGTTACTGATTGCTTAGTTTAGGAAAAGGGATGTTATGTTTAGATATTAATATACTTAAAAGATTTGAATTAAGAGATATATGTATGGGGGTGGAGGAAATGGGTAGATTATGAGTAGAATAAATGCCAAATTAGGATCTATTATATAGTTTTATAGCCGAATGCTGTTTTGAAAGGTATAGTATATGGGGGACATAATAATAATGTTAGAAAGAAATGTTTAGCACATAGGGGGTGGTGTAAAAGGGTGGCAAAGTATTATATAATGTGATATTAATTTGGATTTCATTTTGCAGAAGCCATGGGGGGAGGGGAGGGGGAGGGGGGGAAGGGGGAAAATTTGTATTTGAAAAACTTTTTCAATTAAAAAAAAAAAACTTTAGGCAAATCCTTGGAGAATGGGGCAATCCAGGCCCATAATGCTCTAGAAATATTTTGGAACGTTTCTAATTCCAGGCCACCTCTCCGCTATTCATTAATGCATCCCAAGGATCAATTCTGGGGGAAAGAATTGTGTACAGGTAGTCCTTGACTTACAACAGGTCAGTTAGTGACCATTACAATGGCACTGAAAAAACTGACTTCTGACCGTTTTTCACACTTACCACTGTTTCAGCATTCCCAGGGTCATTGGTAATTAAAGAAAAGGAAGAATCAGAGTATTTTAAAGTATGGGGCAATTATATCAATGGTTAGAGAACAGATATATATATAAATCTAGATAATTGATATATTAATATAAACATAAGAAATTTGAAATGAAAATATAAAGGTATGACAGAAATATAATATGAAAATGATGGAGGCGGGAGTAGAAGACACAAAATATGTAATCAGATGAAACACTGAATGATTAAGGATGTATTGTTCATTTGTAAGTTTGTTTTAAAAAAATTAAAAACTTTTTTTTTTTTTTAAAAATGAAATAACTTCAAAAAATAAAAATGTAGGACATCATGGTGTATCTTGTCAATAATAAAATCACTAAAGTATTACTTACCAAAGACCTAGTAGCCTGATCCTCCAAAGAATCCTTAAGTGAAGGATGAATTCTAGACATATGGCAATCGAAGTTTGGAGTTGGATCCAGTACAATTTTCTTTTGGCCTTTAGGTGGTTGAACTTTTTTAACTTTTCCTAAAAGAACCTAGAAATACAAAGCAAACAAAACCTTTTCCGTGTTTCATATATATATATATATTTACACTAGCTTAATAGCAATGCAGTTCAACTGAGCTTTTTTGGTGCTATGAATCTTGAAAAATAAAATGCTTTATTGTATACCAGAATGTTAGTTTTAAATTATTCCCAGTAATTACCTTTAGAATTAATATGAGCATTCTATAGACTACATTTGTTTTTTTATTAGATTTATATTGCCTATTTGCCCATGGAGAATTAAGGCGGCTTACAGAATATAAAAAACCACATTTAAAAACCAGTAAAATTCATAAAAAATCAAATAAATTAATGTAATAAAATCACACCTGACCCCCTCCTCCCACCCCAACGATAGCTGATCACACAAGCCATTTAATGGGCTCCATCCCGCTCTGGGTTCCCTAGGCCCGCTGGCAGAACCAGGTCTTCAGCGCCTTCCGGAAAAGAATTAGGGTGGGGGCCATTCTAATCTCTGGGGGAATGATGTTCCAGAGAGAGGGAGCCACCAAGGAGAAGGCCCTTCTTTTGGGTCCCACCAGGTGTATCTCCCTCGGGGATGGGACATGCAGCATTCCCTGCCTCCCTGCTCCAATGGGTTGGGTAGATGTGACCGGCAAGAGATGGTCCCTCAGATAACCTGGTCCCAAGCCATGAATGGCTTTAAAGATGACAACCAGCACCTTGGATTGCACCCAGAAACAAATCGGCAGCCAATACAGGTCCCACAGGAGAGATGATTTATGTGCACACTGGGGTCTGCACAAAACCATGCGGGCCACTGCATTTTGCACCAACTGGAATTTCTGGATGCTCTTCAAGGGCAGCCCCATGTAGAGTGCATTGCAATAGTCAAGACGGGAAGTGACTAAGGCATGAGTGACTGTGAGTAGGGATTGCCGGTCCAGGAAAGGGCATAACTGGCGCACAACTTACAGTTGTGCAAAGGCCCTCCTGGCCATGACCGTCACCTGCTCTTTGAGCAGGAGTTGTGAGTCCAGGAGAACCCCCAGATTACGCACAGGGTCTGTTTGGGGTAGTGCCATCCCATCCAAGACCAAAGATGGCAATTCTCCCTGAGCCAACAAACCCCAAACCTAGAGCCACTTGGTCTTGCCAGGGTTTAGTTTCAACTCATTCAACCTACATACTGTCTTCCATTTATAAGACCTTTCCATCACACTATTAAAAAGCAGTAGCAGACATGAAGATGGTGATTTTTGGGCTCAAAATATTATGACTTATACTAAGCTCATTATTAAGAAGACTCTCTCTGGGTACTTTAGTTAGAAAAATGTGTAATTATAATTAATATAATTAATTATACTGATTTTTTTTAAAAAAAATACTCTGTGTTTTCCCACCTCTCTTTCCTATATTCTGCCAAAAATCCAAAAATTTCAAGGATTGGCCTGTCTTTGGGGCTGAGAAAGGAATAAGTAAAACACCATGATTCAAGTGGCACTACTCTGCCATGATGATGGCAAATATCATGCAAAACTTAGGTCTGAGTTTCAGCAAAATACTATAATAGGTTTGCCACCATTATCAATATTGCAAATAAGCTACAGAATGTCTTTCTGGGGGAAGGGAAAGGAAGGGGAAAAAGATGTTGAAGTAATTTTTATAACAGATGAAATTCTTAGATTGCTGGACAGAATCTTATAAATTAACAGGTGTAGAGGAAGCTGATGGCTTGCACTAATGGCTGCCCTAAATAAAGTTTGAATTTCAGACACACTCTCCCTTTTTTCCTTTGATTCTTACACTAATCCCTTTACCTAATGAGGCTTTTTTTTAATTGAAATCTTCTCACCATACAGTTGGCTGAATAATAATTGCAGATTCTGGTAAACAGTCTTAGAAATAATCCTTGCAACAATCATGGACTTTGTTTCAATCAGCGGTGTCTGCACAGAGGCATTAAAATAACACACTCTCGCATACAGACACAAATTGATGTCATTACTATGTAATATAGTATTTTATTCCATCAGGCGGGCTTGGCCTAATTTCTTCCCTTTTTAAATATGTAAATTTTAATCTGTTTTTAAATTATTGGGGTGTTTTAATCTGTCTAGGCCAAAATGATTTAATTTGATTTTATCTGGTTTTTAAATTTTTTGTATTTATGTATTTTATTATTGGCTGTTCACCGCCCTGAGTCCTTCGGGAGTAGGGCGGTATACAAATCAAATAAACCTAAACCTAAACCTAATATCAAATTCAAACACATGTAGATGAAAGTGTTTGCATGATGACATTGTGAGCGCTTTATCATTTGTCTTCCTTTGCTCTCCTGATTTTTACTTATGTTTTTTTAAAAAATTTATAATTATACTTTTTCAGCTTTCACATATCTTTATAAATGCCCATTTTAAGCTTATATTCTAAGTTTTAAATCTGTTTGGAACAAATTCCTTCCACAGAATAGTCTACTTCAGGATCCAAACCAATGATTTCCCACATTACAGAGTAATTGCTTTACAGTTTTAAAATGTATGTATGTATGTATGTATGTATGTATGTATGTATGTATGTATGTATGTATGTATGTATATATATAAAGACTTACCCTGAATATAATGATATTTTCTACTGGAAATGAATGTTTGGATGCATAATTCAAAGCAATATCAACATATCGGAACAAGTAAACTCCAAGTTGAGGATTTCCTAGTTCTTTCATAATGTTTATTTCTCTTTTGGAATCACCGGTACATAGGCCATTCTGACAAATTTGTGGCACTTCATCTCTAGAGACAACTAAAAAGCTAGAGAGTTCTTTATCTTGCTTTCCTTCTTCACGCAACTCAGTCCTAACAATAAAAAAGATGTTTTCAAGGCAGGTTCTACGCTTTATGCAAATTAATTTAAAAAGGTAACAGTCAATTTCGTTGTTTCCTAGTAATATATTCTAGATTCTCCCTTTTAACAGAAATGTGTCTGGGTCTGTCCATATAAAGCATCTCACTATACATCAATTATTGCAGTAGCTGAAATAATAACAATTTTCATATTTACTTTTATTATATTCTTGTTGCTATCAAAGTATGGACTTCCTACTGAATGCCAGGTCACTCCATAACTGAAATATTAGCCCAATACGCTTCTTTTCTTCTGCATTCATGGTCTTAACATTTGATACAATTCATACATTTTTATTTATTACAATTATTTATATCTTCAATTAAACCCACTGGAATGGATGCTATAATTGAACTTGGGGGAAAAGTCAAGAGGTTTCAGAGCAAAGGTTATTTAAATTATCATGTTTCCCGAAAATAAGACCTTGTCTTATATTTTTTTGAACCACGAAATAAGCGGCTGGCCTTATTTTTGGGGAGGTCTTATTATTTTGGGGCACGTGGAGCAAAATGGGCCTTCTCTTGCCGTCTTATCCGATTTTCAGCTCTGCGTTTAAGTATTTTCGGGGAGGGCTCATTTTTGGGGGGAGGCTTATTTTAACGCATGTGCTCAAAAACACGATTGGGCTTATTATCAGGGGATGTCTTATTTTCGGGGAAACAGGGTAGTTATTTAGCCAATATCCTATGCCCAGTTTACAGGATCACTCTTGCACATGCTATATTCATTCTTTTACCCCTTCATAGCCGGAAAGTTTAATAATATCCCAATGCAAAAGCATCTCTATCCTTGTCAAGTGGGGAAAATAGAATCTATCTCCTATGTACTATTACATTGTTCTTTTTATAAGGCTTGGCAGGCTCTTGTAATTATGGCCCAATGGATTAATAACCATAATAGCTCTGAGTAGAATACTTTTTAACCAACAGATCACCTGAGATTTCCACAAATATCATGGATTCTACTCCATTGCTTTTTGATATTTAATAGTACAATAAACTTTTAAACTTTTCCAGACGTTCCATTAATGTATTTTTGGAGTATATTTTTTTAAGTACCATATTCTTTGGAGAATATTGTTTGGTTAACTTAAACAATGCTTTTTTGCTCTCCATATGGAAAACAACTGAATACCACTACTAATATTACTATTACATTCTGAATTTCAAGATAAAATGTCTTGCATGTTACAATACTCTACATTTATTAAACACTATAATTAACAGGAATTCTTCTCTTGATGAAGCTTGATGCCCAGAAAGTAGGGACAAGATAGTTAGAATAGAAATAGATACCAGATGTGGTATTTGTGTGTTTTTAGTTCACTATTAGGAGTGATGATGCATTGCCAAGGTCATATATTACCCAGGCAACTTAATTACCCTTCAGCCTAATTTTCTGTTTCTTTCATCTTAATTTCAAAGCAAATGATCTTCAGCAAGAATGATCTACACCTTCTCCAACAACCTACAGTTAGTTCTTGACTTATGACTACAATTTGGATCAGAATTTTGATTGTTTGAGTGAAGGATCATTAAGAGAGACACTGATGTGACTAGTTCACTTAACAACTGCAGTCCCAGCACTCCTGATTGTAGTAATTAAGTGATTTCCTAGGTCTGTAAGCAGATGGAGTGAAAGAGCTGCCTGCTAAAGGATTTCAGCTCCCCTCCATCCCTACTGCTTGCAATCTTCTTTGCTGGCTTCCCCAGACTTTCTGGGGAAGATTACAAATGGCAATCACATGATTGCAAGGCACTTGGCAACTGGTCGTAAATGTGAATTGGTTGCCAAGCGCCAAAATGCATCACATACTTTTTTTGGGGGGGAGGGGAGGAAACATTTTATAACGTCCAGAAGTGTTTTACAAGTCAGAAAGCATCCTTTCCAAGGCCATCATAACTTTGAATGGTCTTTAAATGACTATGTAAGGAGGAAAATAGAATAGGTGACTCCATTCTACTTGTTGCTTTGCCTCCTGCTTGTTCCAACTCTACTTACATTGGCATAAAACATGCAATAAAAATTGAAAATCCTTGTGGTCTAATTCTGTTTTAGAAGGCATCCATAAACTATAGCTTGCTGCTATATTCCAATTTTCAAATTATAGCTTGTGCAAAAATAAGGAGTACATTCAAGCCCACACATTGCTTATATAATGCAGTACTTACTTATAAAATATATAAAGATAAATTTTCAAAGCAAATTAGAGGTTTAGAGTTTGTAAATACATTAATACATTTCTGTGCTTTTAGTGCAGAAAACTTCATACCTCTCTCTCTCTCACACACACACACACTGATAATAGAAGTGATAGAAATAAAATGCAATAAAGCAATAAACAGAAAAAGGTGATTTTATTGTGATTATATTTATCTGTGTTATAAACATAGAATGCCATAAATCTGCACAAAGAGTTTAGAGATTAGGACTGATTTTAACACTAGGTTAGAGACCCAAGTAGAAATTAGACTGCCTACCAAACATAAAGAATTTAATGTCTGATTTTACTCTGGCCAAACTGAAGCAAAAATCCAGAATATTATCTGAAGTAAAGAGAGTCTTGATGAATAGCAACTGATTGAAGCCTAGTGTATGGTTTGTGACTGGAAGAAGGATTAGTTAATTGGGAACTCTGCTGAACTTGATTACATGTTATACTGTATGTGCATTTTTCCTCATAGAAACATGTAACACTGACAAATACACCAGAGGAGACACCAGCTGAAAACCTCAATCAAGCAGGTTGAGCACTTTGGGCTGATCACTATCTCAATTTGTTGTGAAGATGCATGAGGAAAAATGGGCGAAAAGTCCATTCAGTAAAATTGTTAATGATCTATATTTTTATATTACAACAATTCACCTTTTTGCAATGAATTCTTCTTCCAAATCTTTATTATGAACCATCTCTATTTTATGAAATTGCCATAAAGATTCCAAATGGCACTGTATATCAAGGCAATTTTCATTCAGACGTTGTTTAATCTCATTATAGTCCCTCTGATTAGCAAGGCACTCTGTTAAAAAATCTAAACATAAAGAAAAGGAAACAAAAAATATAAAAAAATAAGTATTCTCACCATGGTAGAGTGTACTGTAATTCTACAAAGATAATTTTTAATGTTTCAAAATTAATAAGAGCCATGGTGGCACAGTGGTTTGTATTATAGGCTAACTTTGCCCACTGCCAGGAGTTCGATACTGACTGGTTCAAGGTTAACCCATCCTTCCAAGGTCGATAAAATGAGGACCCAGATTGTTGGGGGAAATATGCTGTCATTGCAAACCATCCAGACAGTACTGTAAAGCATTATGGGGCATACATCTAAGTGCTATTGTTATTGTTAATTTGGAAAATTTCCAGAACAAATATTTTTCTAGCAATAAATGTTAGAAGGGGAAATAATAGAGAAATATCTTTATTATGATCTTTAGGATACATAATCTTATTTCAACTAAAGAAATTTGCAATGATTTCATCACTGGCTATATTTTTGCTTTTAATATGACATATACTTTCTATATTATAAGAACATGCATTTCAATTAAGGAATCTTCAGACTCTAGTTTGAAACTTGATTCTTTGTCAGCTAAGACCTTGCATTAAAAAAACCTTATTCTTATTATTCAAATTAAGTCTTCAGATACTTTTTGCAGGTGTAAGGTAGCCAAATTCAATCATATAAAATAACTTAATGTTTTTCTTAATGGGACCACACAGTCTCCAAACATAAATATTTACCTTTTCTGCTTCATATTGTTCCTTCTTTGATGGGAGCATTTTCAAATTTTAGCTGCTCCTATTTTTTCTGCACACAGAATGTTCCTTCTGTTTTATTCTTTAATTATGTTTTACCTTGTTCTTTGAATAAGCCTCTTTGCAATTAAAAAAAACACAGTCCAATCCAGACAAGGGCAAGGGCAAGGGCAAGACCATGGATAGAGACTCCAGTATTTGAATTAGGAACCTCGTAGTCCAAGTCCAAAATCAGACCAAAAAAACCCCAACTGAAGCAGGTAGCAACTACAACAGAAGTACTGTAGTACAATACTTCTGGATAGGTCTATGTAGAGAGTAAGGAAAATAATTTTGATGGAAATTTACAGGAACTGTTGCCTAGACAAAAGGGGCATGAAGCATTTTTTTAAAGTTCAGAGCAAGGAAATAACGTTCAGAATGGCTCAGGTAGAATGCTTCTCTGATTCACCAATGTATAAGAAGGGGAGGAGGTAGAGCACATCAGACTTGTAAGATACTATTATTACAGCTAATAAATAACATGAATTTATCCTTTCTGTGGAGATTTCTTGGTCTGCCCTATCCAATGGTACTGACAATATGGCTAGAATTTTTACTTGAAAAGTGTTTTCCTCTTTGGGTCAAACATGCCCTGGCAATAACTTTTTTTTACTATAATGTTGTCTTTATCTCGTCTACAGCCCATAAATATGTTTATACGTACGCTGATGACACTCAGCTATACATCTCCACCCCAGACCACGCCAATGATGCCCTTGAAGTGATGTCCTGGTGCCTGGAGGCCGTGCGGGTCTGGATGAGGAGAAACAGACTCCGACTCAACCCCTCCAAGACTGAGTGGCTGTGGCTTCCGGCGTCCCCATATAGCCAGCTGGTGCCATCGCTGGCTATTGGGGGCGAGTCATTGGCCCCCACGGAGAGGGCTCACAACTTGGGTGTCCTCCTGGACGCGCGGCTGTCTTTAGAAGAGCATATGACGGCCGTGGCCAGGGGGGCTTTTTATCAGGTTCGCCTGATCCGCCAGTTGCGTCCCTTTCTGGATCGGGACTCCCTGTGCACGATCACTCATGCCCTCGTCACTTCCCAACTGGACTACTGCAATGCTCTCTACATGGGGCTCCCCTTGAGGAGCACCCGGAGGCTCCAGCTGGTCCAGAATGCGGCTGTGCGGGTGATTAAGGGAGTGACGTGGCGCTCCCATGTAACACCTCTCCTGCGCGAGCTACGCTCTCACAGAGAGGGCCTCCTCAGGGTGCCGTCGGTCAAGCAATGTTGTGTTGGCAGGGGGGCAGAGGTCAACCTCGAGGCGCCTTGTTTGCGAGGTGCCGCAAGGGTCGGTTCTCTCGCCGCTCCTGTTCAACATTTATGTGAAGCCGCTGGGTGAGATCATCCGTGGTTTTGGGGTGCGATGCCATCTGTACACTGATGATACTCAGCTGTACATCTCCACCCCAGACCACCCCAATGATGCCCTCGAAGTGATGACCCAGTGTCTGGAGGCCGTGCGGGTCTGGATGGGAACAGGCTTCGACTCAACCCTTCCAAGACCAAGTGGCTGTGGATGCCGGCGTCCCGATATAGCCAGCTGGTGCCATCGCTGGCTATTGGAGGTGAGTCATTGACCCCCACAAAGGGGGCTCGCAACTTGGGCGTCCTCCTGGACACACGGCTGTCTTTAGAAGAGCATATGATGGCCGTGGCCAGGGGGGCTTTTTATCAGGTGTGCCTGATACGCCAGTTGTGCCCCTTTCTGGATCAGGACTCCTTATGCACAGTCACCCATGCCCTTGTCACGTCTCGCCTGGACTACTGCAATGCTCTCTACATGGGGCTCCCCTTGAGGAGCACCCGGAGGCTCCAGTTGGTCCAGAATGTGATTGCGCAGGTGATTATGTGAGCGATGTGGCGCTCCCATGTAACACCTCTCCTGCGCGAGCTGCACTGGCTCCCGGTGGTCTTCCGGGTGCGCTTTAAGGTGTTGGTTCTCATCTTTAAAGCGCTCCATGGCTTAGGGCCAGGGTATCTACGAGACCGCCTGCTGCTACCGATAACCTCCCACCGGCCAATACGCTCTCAGAGAGGGCCTCCTCAGGGTGCTGTCAATGTCGGCTGGCGGCCCCCAAGGGGAGAGCCTTTTCTGTGGGGGCACCTGCTCTGTGGAATGAGCTACCTCCTGGAATATGATTGATCCCGGACCTCCGGACCTTCTGTAAGGCCCTGAAGACTTATTTAATCCAGCAAACCGGCCTAGCCTAAATGGTTTTTAATGGGATTTTTAAATTTTACAGACTTGGGGTTTTAAATTGGGTGGCCGATTGATTTAATTTCTTTTAATTATCTTAACTTTTGTATTGTATGTATTTTAATTTTGGCTGTTCACCGTCCTGAGTCCCTTTGGGAGAAGGGCGGTACACAAATTAAATTAATAATAATAATAATAATAATAATAATAATAATAATAATAATAATAATAATAATAATTCTTATGGGACCGCCTTCTGCTACCGACAGCCTCCCACCGGCCAGTACGCTCCCACAGGGCGGGGCTTCTTGGGATGCCGTCAGTCAGACATTGTCGACTGGCAACCCCCTGGGGGAGAGCCTTCTCAGTGGGGGCTCCTGTCTTTTGGAACGAGTTGCCCCCGGAGGTACGGAGGATCCCGGACTTGCGCACCTTCCGCCGTGCCCTGAAGTCTTTGTTATTCCAGCAAGCCGGGCTAGCCTAATTTTAACGGTTTTAAATTTTAAATTGGATTGAATGGGATGTTTTTAATTGTGAGCCAAAGTATTTAATCTGGTTTTAAATTGTTTTTAATTTTTGTATTTATGTATTTGATCATGCTGTTCACCGCCCTGAGTCCTTCGGGAGAAGGGCAGTATATAAATATAAGAAAGAAAGAAAGAAAGAAAGAAAGAAAGAAAGAAAGAAAGAAAGAAAGAAAGAAAGAAAGAAAGAAAGAAAGAAAGAAAGAAAGAAAGAAAGAAAGAAAGAAAGAAAGAAAGAAAGAAAGAAAGAAAGAAAGATGAGGCCCAAAGCCAGGTGGGTGATTTTGGGCCAGTCTCTAGGCAAGATTAATTCTATAATCTTGTCAAGAAAACCACAGAGACTAATCCAGGCACGAAAACACCACCACCATACACTTTCCTCCAGTGAACTCAATTCTTGGTAACTAGACAGGTCTATCTATGTTAGTCTCATTCTGTCTGGAGAGAGATGATTTACCATTAAATTTTTCTGGTAATAAAGAAAAAAATAAGAAAAAGATTTTTCAATCTCAGTCTAGCATATAGTTCTGCAATTTCCCAATAGTTCTCCTTCAAATTACTAACCTGATACGAATCTTTTTTTAAAATTTTTTTACAACAGACAACATCAGCTATGTGCTGCTACCTGCTCTGGACTCAAGTCTCTTTATTTACTGGGATATGAAAAGTAAAGACGTGACGATTTTATTTTATTGATTGATTTCTACCACCTTATTGTAGTTAATTCAAGGTGACATATATACTTAATGTTGCCACCTATTTTACTCACAACCACCATCCTATAAGGCAGAAAGGACCAAAGTCACCAAGCCAGCTGTAATGCTCAAAGGAGGACTAAATACAACAATCTCCCAATTTCTAGCCTAGCATCTTATCCAATACACTAAACTGGCTTTCTTACATTCAATATAAGGATAGACTTAGCAGAAGCTTACATCAGAAAGCCTACTGAAAACAGTATTTTCACAATGCTTAGAATTGAAAGCAATGTCAAACAAGGAAAAATCCATACTTTTTTTATTTTTATCATTTAATCATTTTTATTTTTTTAAAAAAACACCTATTCGAAACAGCCTTGAATTAATTTAGGATGGGGGGAATCCTTGAACATGAGAGATCTAGGATTTCATACCGCTTCTGCAGGTTTTTCAGAGGTGGACAATCACTGCTCAGAGTTTAATTAGATTTACTGCACACTGGAGAGGGTTGGATTAGATTACTCTTGTATATTTTCCAATTCCACAATTCTATGATTCTAGAGTAAAAGACCAGACCAGTGATGGCAAAGCTTTTAGATACCAAGTGCCCAAATTGTGCATGTGCGTGCATGCCCAAAATGAAAGGTGCATGTGCAAATGTGCGCATGCGCATGTGGGGACATGCACATGCACAGACATGCACAGCAGAGACCCGAAAACCAGCTGGCCGGCGGAAGGCAGGGCAACACCAGCAGTGCAGCAAGAGGTAAGATCTTTTTCTTTCGTGACCTTCTGTTTCGTCGTTTGCAAAGATACAGAAACTCACGAAAGAAACATCACGTAGATCTGACCTGGGGCAATGGTGTGCGTGCCAGCAGAGAGGGCTCTGAGTGCCACCTCTGGCATGCGTGCCATAGGTTCGCCATCACAGGAGTAGACCGATGTTCCTCAAATTTGGCAACAGTGAGCAGATAGTGATCTTAGTAGTAAAAAACTGAATACAACTGAAAATATATATGTCGAATAAAATCACTCTTATGTCTACAAAATACAAGTAGTCCTCATTTAGTGACTATAATTGGGACTGGTTAAGCGGTTGTTAAATGAAAATCATGTGAGTACAACTGTGTTTAGGATTTTATTTCAGCATTCCTTTGCTTTGCAGCATCAGAAGGATTCAATTCCAATAGCTGGGTGAGCCTAAATGGCAAGGAAGGTTTTTGGAACTTGACTCATGATGAAGTCAGGTAGAAGACAAATCCTATAAACCCTTTTCCTCCACACCTCAGTGCTGAGATAATTAGCAAGAATTTAATTGGTTTGTGTTTACATTCATTGGAAAGGATTATAAAGGAGTAAGCAGGCACACAATGGGGAATACACATCAAAATGAATGAAGTGGCACCAGTTAGCCAGTTTATTTGCCTAGCCTGCTCGAGCCTGTGAGTCACTAATTACTTAGGAAACAAAGAAAAGCCTTTAGTGTGAAAGTGATTAAAGTCTTATCAATTATAGGCAGCAACTGCCAATTGACTAAGTAAGGCAGGGGTGTCAAATTTCAATTTCACTGAGGGCCACATCAGGGCTATGGTTGACCTCGGGGGGAGAGGGGGCTGGGAGGGGGTGTGCCCAGCTTGATGCAACCTCCCAAACTGCTGTCATGTTTCCTCTTCGCATTGGGTAGACCAGGCTGAAGCCATGTTGACCTGATCTTTCCTCTTCGCATTGGGTAGACCAGGACGGTCCCGTGGCCCGCATCCGACCACATCGCGGGCTGGATCCGGACCGTGGGCCTTGAGTTGGACACCCCTGAAGTAAGGTCACAGAGTTGAGCTTGTTAACTTATGGTTAGGAATTTTAGACAAACAGTGGTATACAGGTAATCCTCGATTTACAACAATAATTGAGCCCAAAATTTCTATTGCTAAGCAAGACATTTGTTAAGAGAGTTTTCCTCTATTTTACGACCTTTCTTTCCACAGTTGTTAAGTGAATCATTGCAGTTTTTAGGTTAGTAACACAGTTGTTAAGTGAATCTGGTTTTCCATTGACTTAGCTTGTCAGAAGGTCGTGAAAATGGATATGACTCTGGGACACTGCAACTGTCATAAAAACGAACCAGTTGCTAAGCATCTGAATTTTGATCATATGACCATCGGAATGTTGCAACCGTCGTGTAAAAAATGGTCATGTCATTTTTTTCAGTGCCATTGTAACTTCAAACAGCCACTAAACGAATGGCTGTAAGTTGAGGAACGACTTGTACTGCAGAAAAAAGCTGCTCAAGAAGAGAGTCCAAAAGGACCACATGTACTAAATGATTGTCATGGTGAATATGTGACTTAGAAATACATGTTGAGAAGGTTGTAAATTGATGAAGTTACTTTTTCATCACCATCGTAATTGAAAATGGTCACTGTCTGAGGCAGTCGCTAAATGAGGATTAGTATAGTGTCTAAACATGGCACAATTTCTGCTATAAAGATTAATTTTCTTAACATTAGCCAACTCAAAGCATGATACATCATACTGTAATATAGTTTATAAATGGAACTGTGTATGTTGCTTTGTTTACTGTACCTTTATCAGGAGGTTTTTTAGGAATTGTAAATTTTTTCAGACAATTTTGATCCACCAAAAATAATCCCTTTATATTTTTCCTTATTACTTCCAACTTTGGTTCCATTTCTATTTTGTTTTCAACCTAAATTAAGGACAAAAAGGAGAAACTGCATCAAATTGTATGCTTAATTGATTTCTTTTAAAATATGTTTAATTGCTTTGCTTTTGAATTGTGTTCCATCTTTCTCAATTGTTTCCAGTTTTAATCAAAACTAAACCAAAAACACTTAGTTTTCCTTTTTTGTAATATCACAAATCACAACCAGGTAGCTATAATTACAGTGGGCATCAGTTAAATCTGTTTCAAATTCAAAATCAAATTATAATGCTTCAGTATAATTGTACTTTAAGTTAAGAAGAATAAGATTTCAGCCATACATTTTATTTATTTAATAACTGTACTGAGCTAAAGGATTTGTGAAGGTACCTATATTAACCAGTCACTAGAGGGAGATAAAGTACATGCTTATCAATCAGAATATAATAATAATAAAAAAAGTATGAAGTATAAACATAATTTGAATACATGAAAAGAGTAAGTAAAAAGGAACATTAGGACAGGAATGGTAGGCATGCTGGTGCACTTATGTACGCCCCTTACTTTGCATTCTTCTTTCTATCCAGTTTTTTCTCCAGTATCACAGCTTTTTAGGCTATAAATTTGTGGACAAAACATTATTATACTATAAAAACATTATTAGAGGCTTTAAGGATGAAGTGTAAGGAATAATTTGTCAACTCTGAAGTGAACCTGGTTAAACCCATCTCGTGCTGCCTCAAAGTTGTCATGGTGCCTGAAAAAGAAGGGGAGGTGGGGAGTAGATAGCCCAGCTTACAGTCAAAATAAAAAGTTTTCCTGTGGGAATCAAGTTCAACATAACAGGTGGCTGGTAAAGAAGGAGAGAAGCCTGCCAGCTGTATTCATTGGACTATGTGATGTGGCATCCCTCTGCAATTTTTTTAAAACTGTCACTTCTATCTTCAAGGCTACCATACCTGTTGCAGATAATTGTTATGAAGCCTTTATTTTTTAATGAAAGCACTGCACAACTTTATTAATAAGTGCAAAAAAAATTATAAATTTTTTATTGCATTGGGGCAGGGAAATGGATGTTTGAAATGAAATTGAAAGAGAAATAGTAGGGGGGGGAAATAAAACTGGGCGGAATGTGAAAGGGTTAATGAAACAGGAAAGGGGAAAAAACCCTCTAGGCTCTTCATGTGTAAAGGAAAACTGTGGTGTGATGGGAAAGGGGACAAACCAAAGATGTGCTGCACTTTGAGCTTGCCAGAATAGCTATTCAATCCCAGGAATATATTTGAGTTAAGAAGGTGACAGCAGAATGTTCTAGAACAGGGGTCCCCAATCCCTGGTCCATGGACTGGTAATGGTCCATGGTCTGCTAGGAACTGAGTCAGGTAAGCAGTGAGCAAAGCTTCATCTGTGTATGTGTGGGATCTAGATTGTGTGCAAAACTATCCCCCCCACCCCGGTCCATAAAAAAATTGTCTCCCACAAAACAGGTCCCTGGTGCCAGGAAGGTTGGGGACCATTGCTCTAGAACAAACATGCTACTTGAAAGCTACTTCGAAGCTTGCAATCCAACACATTCTTAAGACAAAGTTATGGCCATAATTCCTGTTTCACTGACTTAGAACTCCAGAAAAATGGGATCCAGGGTCAGAGGGGATTCACCATCCATGATATGAATTTTCTGGAGTCCTTATCTGCAATAAGAGAAAAGTGGCCCCTCCCCATAGTCAGCATCCTTTCAAAACTATTTACCTCTAGTCTGTGAATATAATCCTCACCCACCCTTCAGATAATTACTTGAGGATAAAAGCTACTCCTCTTAAATAGGATATTAGGGGGTTGGACTAGAAGACCTCCAAGGTCCCTTCCATCTCTGTTATTCTATTCTATTCTATTCTATACTAGTTCTTTGAGATTGTGAAGAAAGGATACTGCTATGTTAGCAGAAGTAAAGAAATAACTGAGCATTTTCTTATCATTATGGCAGGACTGAAAATGTAAGGAATGCAAAAAACTCTGAGAACTTGAAAAATGGAAGGGCAAGGAAATGAACAATATCAGGATATATAAGAGAGAGAACTTGGTGGCCTCTGTGAGAAAATCAACTAGCAATGTGTTAACAATTATGACATTTGTATCCCTAAGGCAAACCAACTTGCATCTTGTGTAATCAGTTCCTACAAAGTTATTCCTGTAAAGTTTTAACAGTGTATAAACTGGTCCTCTGAGTAAATCAGAGATAGACTACAACAGCCCTTCCATGCCCAAAACACTATACTACCAGAAAAAGAAATAAGAGATAAATGGTCTCAAATATGAGGCTTGTACGCCTTCTAAAGAGTGTGCATGGGAGTGGGGGCAGTTTCAGAAGTGAACAAATAAAATACTTCCTTTATCTATATATATAAAAGCGACTCATCATGAAATCTCCAGAACAGTAAAGTCTACAAACTTGAAATTTGGCACGTACATTCCTCTTGGCTTCTAGGTGCTTGCTAAGAAAGAATTTTTCGAAATGACTATCAGATCATTAGTATTTCATACACAGTATATTCATATACAGTATATTAACACGCTCTGATGCTAAGGAATTAGACATTCTACTCCCCCCTTACCACCTGAAAAGTTCCAACTGCCACTTGCCTCACATTCCATTACCTCAGGTCAAACTGGCAGACGTTCCACTCCTTCACTCAGGAGCGGTCTGGGGCTCCTTACAGTCGGTAGCTTACCAAAATGTCTACACCTTTCACCTATGGAACTGCTTCCGAACTCAAGGCGATGGGAGAGATATTTTCCCTTATGTGTTTCAATCACCGACCACCACTGAGCCAACGGATTGTGAACCGAATTTCCCCTGCATAGTGTCCCAGCCCCAACTCACTTCTTACACTGACCTCCTCAATTCAGATGAATCTGTCCCTTCTACTATAACACCAGTTAAAGGGAAAAGACTGTCTTTCTGCTGCCCAGAAGTACAACGGATGCTTCAGAATGACGTCTTTTGGAGCCAGAGAGGTGAAGGAAGGAAATTTTATGTCAACATTCAAAGTGCAGGGGCAGGTCTACCACAGGATAGGGAGTATCATGGTGAGGCCTAAGCAGAAGCCTTCATTTCTCCAGATATACTTTGTTGGTGATGATGACAATGAGACTCTGTCAAGACCATGGGGATGCTACAATGGTCGTAATCGTGAAAAATGGTCAAAAGTAGCAAAGCATGGGTATCCAGCTAGTCCCCAGATATAGGTAAAAGTAAAGGTTTTTCCCTGTCCAGTTGTGTCTGACTCTAGGGGACAGTGCTCATCTCCGTTTCTTAGCCAAGAGAGCCAGCATTGTCTGAAGACATTTCCATGGTTATGTGGCCAGCATGACTAAACGACAAGGTGCATGGAACCCTGTTCCTTTCCACCTAAGTGGTACCCATTTATCTACTCAAATTTGCATGCTTTCAAACTGCTAGGTGGGGAGAAACTGGAGCAAGCAATGGGAGCTCACCCTGTTGCGTGGTGTTCATGTATCAAACTCAGGACGTCAGCTTTCCTGCTAACAAGCTCAGCGTGTTTAACTGCTGAGCCATTGTGCCCCCTCCTCATTATGTGCTATACAGCAAATCTTAATTTTTTATAACTTTACAGCGCTGATGAGTAGTCAGCTCAGAAATTGATCCATCCCTCTATAATACACTCAAGGGTTTTTTGTTTTAGCATAAGAGCATGCAGGTTCCCCTACCATAATTTCTCTACCATGTTTATTTCTCAATTACTGGAGGGTTGAAAAGATTAATTTCCTTTACTTTTGAAGAGGGTGTTTTTAAACACAGTTTAACATATACATCCACAGTTTAAATTTACATCTAGAATATGCAGAAATTGCCAACTTTCATACTTAGGCATCTAGTCATGCATATTTGCTTTTAAAGAAAAAAATGAATTCTTTTGGTTGAAAAAACTGACAGAAAGGTATATCATATAGCAGAGAGCAACTTTTTTAAAGTCAATGATTCAAATATCTAAACACTCTGCTTTATGATAGGCTTTTCAGTCTATTTTCAGTCTTCGAGTCCTACCATTCTAAACAATATTGGCAATGGCATTACCAGAGTTCTAGTCCAAGTCACAGAGAGAGCAGAAGTGGAAGTTTAGCTGCCCATATCTTAGTACCTCTACTATGGTGTTTTGTGAAGGATAGTTCCAAAGCCAAATGTTATCACTGAAAATAAGGATGATGTGAACTAGGATGATCCAAATGTTCAGGTACATACTATCAGGATACAGGTAATATTTAACACAACTTTGCTCCTATTGCCTCTTTTCATTGCTAAAAGCACTTTCTCCAACTACATCACTGATGTTTACAAATTCACATGGTTGAACTTATAAATTTGCCCGTCCCAGGAAAGAAATCCCCATATCTATGACACTACCCCATTCAGTTTGCTTTTCCCATTCTGTGTTATCGTCCCATCCCTTAACATTTTCATTCCCTCTTCCAAAGCAGGAAGAGTGTGAGAACAACTCTTCCTACAAATCTTATTAAAAAGCATTAAGTTGTGAGCTGCAGTTCACTTCATCAGATACATAGATGAGTAATACAGCTTTCTTCCTATAATTCCCTCCTACATTAGGACAAGTACAGTGCATCCCTGCCTTGGGGTTTTCAGGTCTTGAACTGTTTACCATTTTAAACGTTAAGCCTACAATGTAACTAACTTTTCACTAAACACACAAAGGCTTCTATTATGCTCTGATTATTAAGATGCCATATAGATGAGCAAGGGGTGCTCTTCATTACAGTCAATAAATCAGTTGTTATTTAATAAATTTAAGCTTCCCACTCATCTTCTGAATATTAGAATAGAGCAAATAACATATATATCTAATGTAAATCGAATATTATGAATTTTCTACTACTAACATCCTTGAAAAGTACATTAAACCATCATTTGAAAAACCTATCTAGCTTCTGGATTTTCTCTAGTTAGTTAATATAGATGAAGAATTCATTGCATTATTCCATCCTAATACTGTTCTTCAATTCCATCACACTTTCTTATCAAACTAAATTGGAAACACTTATCCAGGAATGGGCAAACTGTGTTCTTTCATACATTAGGAAATCTAATCTTCAAACAATCTCAACCAGAACATCTAATAGTGAGTGATGCTGAGCAGCAATGTTGAGAAAAACAAAAATTATCTACCATGAACTATATTCAATAAATGTAAAGGGAATAATGAAAATATGCATTAATGAAACCTCAACTGAGAATCTCATAATGCTAGAAAAACAGAATTTGCTGCTCTGAAATAGTATAATAATCACTTCATAGTGTGAAGCCCATTGTAATTTAAATAAAATAACCAATAGCTGTGAGTTAATTATATAAGTATCATTTACCAGCTATTATAAAAGTTTCATAATACATAACATAAAACTACATAGCATGTTTAAAAGCTTGCTTACATAAACATTCATTTATTAAAATTCTACTATCAGTTCAACCACATCATCTATTCATGTATTAGAATTCTACTATGAATTCAGCCAGATTTGTCCTTGTTGAGAAGTGTTAATTTTCCTAATGAATTGCACAATTAAAGGGCTACATGATCTACATTTATTTCTGAGCGTCCTAAAAGGCAACCTGATAATTTGAGTCTCTTATTAAATAGGATATAAAATGAAGCAATTTTTGTAAAAAAGTATTATTTAAAAGTTGTGCAATGTGCTTCCAGTACGTTTTATAACATCCACTAGCAATTAAAAATTGTGTTCAGATCTATTTACTATTCTTCAGACTAATTTTCAGTATTAGTACAGTAAACTATTAAACTAGTAAACAGAATAGTAAACTATTCTGAAGGGGCATAATGAATAATGCCAAGCTGCAAAAGTCATAGCCAAATGTAAGCAATATTAAAATCGAATCCCTTCCCTTTATCAACAAAGAATTGTCGATAATTCCTTTATAGGTGATTTGATATAAGCCCCATGGAATTGAAAGATATTAAATATATTGCAATCAAATACAGTATCTTTTGGCTTATATTACCTTGTTTGTAGACTTGTAGTAGAAATTAGACCATGGTAAGCTTTAAAAGAGAGCTTACAGAGCTTGTTAAACTCTATTCTAAATTCATTTTAGAATAAATATTACTGACTTCAAAGAATTTAATTTCAAATATATTCCGTCTTATTTGTTTCACTTGTTATTAAAACTATCTGCATTCACAATATCCTCAAAAAGAGGGATAGGAGAGGGTGCAAGTTTGTTGTTTGCTTGATTTCAATATTGAGAATCTTTTGAAAAGAAGTATTTTTCATAGGAATAACTAGGTAAAAATGTTTAAAGAATACTTCAATTCAATTCAATTTATTCAATTTATATGCCGCCCCTCTCCGAAGACCCAGGGCAGCTACTTAAACAATAACTTCTATTATCTAAACTTCAATGAATATATTTGCCTTCCAGTTAAACTATTTTATACTTTAACAAAAGAGGCTTAATACTTAAGTTATTAATATATAATTTAAAGCTTTAAGTACTTGCTAACAATCCACTGATAATCTGATATTTACTGCAGCATATTTCTACATAGCTGTTCCTGCAAATGTCTAACATAAAAGCAAGGAACAGAGACCTCAATCTGTATAGATGTGCGACATTTAGATTTTAATCTCTTCAATGCACACAAACAAATAAGGTATCTCTAAATAGGATTGAACAGATGCACCACTCAAGGTTAAAACCAATCATACAAACCAGGAACTAGAGAAAAAATAGTAAAGTACTAGTTATAATGAGTACTAAATGTTCCTATTGTGAAAACAGCTCGGGACCCGGGGCAAGAAGAGAAACTTGGATTTATAGGAGGGCAAGTGCAGATTGTCAGCTCGCCTCAGTCCCAAAACCTACTGTACTAAAACACCGCATTCACAACCAAAAGGGCGAAGGGGGTCTGTAACGAATTGTTAACGTCTATTTGCCGCATTAACGAAATGGAACCTTCACTTTCAAACTACACTCGCGCACTTCCAACGGCTCAGCAACGAGCAACGCTACGGAGAACGGGGCGGGGGGGGTTGTTATTGCTTTCAAGCCCTCCTTTAACTTTAAAAGACACCTGGAGTTTAACCGCTTGCTGGACTGAGCGGAGTCCAGGAACACTCGCTTATTTTGGCCCCGAACAGAGAAACGAGTCCAACCCCCGGTCTCCGTCTCGGCTGCAAGCGGCGAGCCTCTCGCCTCAAGCGGGACAACAGTGCCGGCACTGAAACTTTACTTGGGAACGAGGACAACCGGGATCCGATAGGGAGCAACGAGTAACTTTTCCAAGGTACAAGGATCCAACGATCCTGGGAACCGCGCACGGAGGGACTTTCGCCCCCTCCGCCCCCACCCCGAGTAAAAGCGAAGGAATAATCAGCTGGTCACTCACGATCGATCCGTGACCACTAGCATCCTCCCGCCTACGTAAAGCGTCTTCAGAACTCCCCTTGGATTCGCCTCCATCGCGCTCCCTGCAGCACTCTTCTTGCCGCCGCGCCAGGCTGGGCTCTGGGATCCCCGTCGGAGCAGCGCATCCAAGAAGCCGCTTGGGCGCCCATTGCCTCGGGCGAACGCTAAGCTCCTGCTGCTGACGCGCCACCGCCACCATCGCGCCAACTGCAGCGCCAGCCCCGAGCGCAGCCCTCTATAGGCTCTTCAGGATCAGGGCGGGGCGGAGCCCAAGCCAAGCGTCTTACCGCTCTCAGTGGAGGCGGGATCTTTTCCGGCCCAGCTGTTTAATCCTCCTCTCTTCGGGAAAGGACCTCTGGTTTGCGTGACGGGCTGGGCTCCCACTTGTAGCACGCGAAGTTTCTTTTTCGCCGTACGACAATTCAGGTGTGACAAACTGGCGGCCCGCGGGCCGGATGCATCACGCGCAGGCCACGCCCACCCCGGCTCCGCAAAGGCAAAAAACGTCGCGGTACAACGTGACGTGAAGCGATCGACTTTAACAAAACGCCTTGCGTCAGAAACTTCAAGAATTTTCTAGTAAGCCAAAGTCGAACAAGATCTTGGTTTAGCTAAATGTCGGTTTACTTTCCGACTACAATTGCTCTGACGTATAAGATGCCCTACTATGTAATACATCGCATATCTCTCGCAGAATCAAGTAAATGGAAAAAAATATCTTTAATAAATGCAACTCTACTACTTTACAACTACCGGTATATATAATATTGGATTGTAGCCCATCCTTTTCCTTCTGACTCCCAAGTTTCTGTAATAATACTTGGCTATTCCTAACAATGATACTGCCTGAATTTCAATTGTGGAGTGAATTGTGTAGATAAATTTGCCCATCATACTAAACATACAATGTGACTGGTGATCGTCAGATAAGAAATATTCTGGGTGCTTCATATGCATTCTTCAGGGTGACTACATACATAGCTGAAAGATTCAGTTTGTAGGGTGGCTCCTTCCCCACTTTGTGGCTTAATTTAGCTTTAATATGCCTGCTGCTGTATAATGCTGCATAGTGCTGGCTGCAACTAATTCCCAATACAGAATTTAATCAATCTTCTACTACTTCTACTGCCACTCTACCTTCTGGATTAAAACTACTAGAGTTCTACCACAAGATGTACAAACTTGTGCTTGACATACTTTTTTTAAAGATCAGATTACCTGTGGTTGCCAAAAGACACTCTTCCACCTGATCAGTGACCAGCATCAATTGCTGCCATTTCTCTTCCAATAGTTTATCTTTTATTAGGATAAAATGAGATTGCATAGGATAGCAAAATCATTTCCCGACTGTCCTTTTTAAAATCAAATTTAAGTATGGATATTGATGTTTTAACTCCATTTCAATCTTTGTGTCTTTCTGAGCCCGGATATTTTGTCAGGACTCCTGTAACCACAGTATGAACCCTCCTTGGCAACCCTTAGTCCCTATGAAACTGCCTTTGTTTCATCCTCAACTCACAAATGAGGTAGCTTCTTCCTTCACCTGTCCTTACCATTTTCTATAGAGGGACAGTAGATTCATATTCATATTGCATTACTGTCTGGTTTGGAAACATTACAGGTAATCCCTGGTTTACGAGCATTCCGTTAGCAAACATTCAAAGTTACATGATAAGCTCCCCCAGTGTTTACGAACAAGTCCCGAAATTATGAATATTGCAGCACCACGGCAGTTGCTTACTCTCATGAACGACTGCAGAGGCTCTGCAACATTCACCCCACCTATCCCCCGCACCCTAGTCAGTTCTTCACAGGCACTTCGCTTGTAGAGACTCACTTACCTTGCGAAGATCTCCTCTGTATTGCAGTTTCTTTGCCTGCTTCATTGCTTCAGGCTTTTGGTGCATTCGCAGACAACAGAGGCCTAACGTACTGCGAGATCTCATGCTACTGATCTCATGTGATCTTGCACTTTAGGCCTCTATTCTCTGCAAATTGAGGTCTGGACATTTGCAAACGGAGGAAAGGCTTTGTTTTACAGAGTACAAGAGGTTTCCCTCCTGTTATAGACTCAGGATAGTTTTGCACAGCAAATATTAAGTTTCGCCAGAGTTCTTCACTTTAAACAAAATTTAAAAGTATTGTTCACATCCTTCTATGTAGTACGATGGGGAAAAGTGTTAGCAAAGTCACAATTTCACAGTGGCTAAGTGTCTTACACATAAAAATAAAAATGAACATCCGTGGCATAATATTTGTAATGCACTTTCCATACTTGCCTCTATGTAGAATTTTGTTTTTAAAGTCTTCAACAGCCCATAGAATGCATATCTTTCAAAATACTTTGCACTGATGATTCACTAGTTTCCAAATCTCTCTTACTTTGAACAGTTCTGAGCCTCTTCTGTTGAGGAAAAAATGAGAGTGCCTATTGTATAAATTCTCTAAATGCTACAGACATTTCAACTGTAAATTTGGTGCAAATAATTTTATTAAGATTTTTGCCTTGTAATACATGCCTGTGTGGTGTGGTAGCTGGCCATGATATCCTGAAGAGTTCCTTAGAAGGACTGCCAATTTTTCCATTTTCCTTTGTTACTATTGGTTGTTATAGAAGTAGCATAGTAACATTGCATTCAGAAGTGAAGTGTCCTTTTTATTGTGCATTTGTTCTGTATTAGTGAAGGATTAAGAAGCAATCATTCTTTTGCATTTCGGGTTTAGAAGGAGCATGGCCCTTCTTGTTCAGATAAGCTTCTTGTTCAGATAATTTATATATTTTGTCTGCAGGAATATGGTTATGCAGATATCATAAAATTATCTGGAACTAAAACAAAAAACACAGACAATACAGTACTACCTTTGCTAGCCCATGTAGATACTTCCAGATCTATCAGCATGCCTCGGACAAAGTCACATGAAAAAACTCCAGGCACATTATCATTTTTTTCTTTTTCTTGGGTAAGCCAGCTAGACATCACAAGGCCATGCTGTGATCTAGAAGCTATTTATTGGTGTATAATTTGTGAATGTTAAAATATTTGCTAATATTAAGATTGTGTCCTTGGAAATTCTTTACTCAACAAGTAACAGTTTATATCAAAAAATTCCTAAGCTTAGATTCAATTGTTTTATTATTAGGACAACACAATTCTACTGGCTTCAGTATAACGAGATCACTTGGAAATAAGAAAGATGATAAAGAATACTGGATAATTCCAATATAATTGTTTTTCAAAAAAATAAATGCTTAGATAAGACTCTCAGTTAATTTGAAACTGTATCAATTGGGAAAAGTAAGTATGTACTTTTACACTCAGCAGTAAAATCTCTGTTCAAACTTAGGCTAAAATAAAAGCTTAAGACTACACAAGTAAGCCATTTATTGTAAGACAGAACAAAGAGTGGCAAGTAACAATAAATTCAGTCAATAATGGGGAAAATAAGCTTCTTGAAGTAACAAATATGCATTATATGAATTCTTGCAAAAAGCAGCTCATGTTTTAAAAAACAGCAAGGTAAATAGGAATTTTTTACAAATCCCACAGGGCTAGAAGAGACATGAAATTCTATTTTTTAAAGTGCTGAGATTTATTCAAATTTATATTTACACATTTTATTGTATTGCACTTATTCATTCTTTCCTATGATTTATTTGTTAACTCTGGAGTTCATGAAGATACATTCGTTCACAAAATAAAGAATACCTGCATGTGGAAAAATGTAGTTTTGAAATAGTTTCAAATTAAGTAGGAAAAACAAGCTTTCACCCAGTACAAGAAAGGGAGTATATTCCTGAAATGTTAATCAGTACTGTATACTTGGGACTTTCTTGATGCGAAGTAACATTCAAAAATATTAATGCCATCTGCATGCAAAATGATACAATGAATAACCTCAGATATACCATAAGTAAACTGGTTTCTGTACCTTGGCACCATTCAATTTATTTGAAGACCATGTTACTTTTTTCTGGAACATGGACCAATCATTTATTTGCCTCTTCCCTCACTATTGAAAAACGTCTAAATTTTCTTCAATTTTCAGAAATAAATATTGAAGATATAATTGTTCATACTTAAAAGTTGATACGGTCTTTAGAGGTTTATCTTTCAAAAAATTATAATCTACCGAAACAACTGAGATAACATGAAGCAACTGTATAGTGATATATAATGAATTGACAACTAAGGAATATTCCAGTTTCTTTCACATGCTGGTAAACAATTCCCTTCCTCTTATTCGTCACCAAAAGAAAATAATTACAGTACAATGTCTCCTTTTCCGATACTTTGCTGAAATAAGATGAGAAAAACAGAATCATTCTTTTTTCTTAAGCAATTATGTTTGTAGCATTTCCCAAATGAAGAGCAAAACAAGCATTAAAGTACTCTTTTATTTTAAATGAATTAAACATTATTTTGTCTCAGACATGTAGCTCTCTATTCATTAAAATATCATCTTTGGCTGCATGAAACAGTGATTTTATCTTGATCAGCTTTTCATGTTCTACTATGAGCTTCTTTATGTAGTACTTTTTAGATGTGCACTTTAAATGATTGTTAAGCATACAACAGATAAAACACAATAAGCTATGACTGGATGTTCCCTTGGCTTATTATTAAGTAATAAAGCTAC